AATTCTGTTTACAATTATATGAAATGCAATCTTCTCCACATTAACATCAAGAAATGCTGTTACATTCACTTTACACCAGGAAAGAAGGATGTAACTAGTAGTAGTAGTGATAGTAATGATCTTATTTTAACGTTGAATAACACAGTCATTAAACGTGTTGATGAAACTAAATTCCTCGGCGTTATTATAGATAAAAACCTTAACTGGAAACCTCATACTGCATATCTTAGTTCTAAATTAAAGTGTGAAGTCGGTAAACTCTGCCGTATGAGAAGATGTATACCTAAAGAGCTGTATAATGACCTCTACCACACCCTCTTCGAATCTCATCTAGGATATGGGATCTCAGTGTGGGGAGGCATATCGAACAATAGGCTTGAACCAATATTTAAAATTCAAAAAAAGTGCACTCGTATTCTATTTGGTGATCAAGAGGCATACAGTAATAAGTTCAAAACATGTGCTAGAACCCGCCCAATTGGATCCCAAAAACTCGGAGCCGACTTCTATAAACGAGAATCAAGTAAACCCCTTCTCAGCAGAAACAAAATACTCTGCGTGCATAATTTGTATAAGTACCACTGTCTACTTGAAATGTTTAAAATAATCAAACTTCACACTCCAATACCGATGTACAATTTATTTCAAAAGTCACCCCGACGTGATAACTACTTTATTAACCCCGCTGCAACCAATTTGTTTGTATATAAAACCTCGAATATGTGGAATAAATTCCTTAAACCTTCTAGTAAGATTGACTTCTCGTCCCCAATTGCACTTGTTAAAGGTCGCATTAAAACTATGCTACTCAATGCTCAAAAAGCTGGAAACACTGATGAATGGTCAGAACTCAACTTTGATGGAAATGACATGTGCCTATAATTAAGAACACACAAACTAGTCCATATAGATTTCATACTACACACACAAAATAACACACACAATACACACCACAGTCAAACATAGAAACTATATATTCACGCATATAACACAAAACACTGATCAGCTCATCCGCTTTACACTAGTGTCTGGACTTGTCTGGAGTGTTCGTCTGGAACGTGGGACGGACTCACAAATATATTGTGTGAACGTAGCGCGCGAAACTTAAATATTGTATAACTCTATCATTTCATTACCCAGCGTGATTTACCGCGCCAGGCCAGAATAATGAAATGAAGCCGCGCTATATCCGTGAACCTACAGTGACTTATATTTTATATTTTGTATCTCTTACTACGTAACGCGAAATTAAGTTGTATCACACTCCCGGTTTTGGACCCCAATGTTAACCTTGCAGCAACTGTGTCAGCCCAATATACTCTAGAAGTATGATCACACTTATTTTAATGAACAAAAGACCCATAATTAATATAATCAGATACTCGTCAACAGCAGCAGTTTCCTTACGTGTGATGTGTTGTCCTTCTCCTTTCTGTGTCCCCGTCGTTTTGTTTTGTGAAATGTACTGTAGTAGTGTTTTAATATTTAAATCGAACGCAACTCAATAGTCAATAGTTAATAATAACAAACACAAATACTATTTTAAATAATTGATTAATATCGATTTATATACGAACCAAACATTAATTAATCTTTAATAACCTTTTATATATGTGTTAAACGATCCAGGGCATATCTAAAATTCGATAATGAACTTCATATATTATTAGTTCCGCGTGCTGATAAATATTCTGGGAATCAATCCACCCAATCGTGGCGATAATGGATAACATATTTTTGTGCTTGGCCGGTTTTAGGTTTGAGTTTGTGCTCCAAAAGTGGTAAATCGGGTGCTAGTAAAGCTCTTGCAGGCAACTGGCTCCTTTTGCCAACTGCTTTTGGTTTAAGCGCTGACTCACATTTGGAACTGGCACTGGTATAATTGTAATATCCTACGAAGTCAGCATGCTATATTATTTTGCAAAACTCGTTTAATATCTTGACAATATTTAAAGTTTATGGTTTTAGGTTTAGACGCGGCGCACGCACCGCTTATATGTTATAGCTCATTCATGATTCAGCTTCTGCTTTCAGCGCTGTGTTGCTACACACTGTATAGCATGTGGGTCAAGCGCGGTGCCGCGCCTAAACAGCAAAAGAGTTATTTATTTTAAAATTTATTTTTGTATCTCAAAAATGATGTAAAGTTTTTAATATGACGAAGAATTAAAGCTATTTCCGTACAGCCTAAGTGCTAAGCATGCTCGTTAGAAAAACTATGAACAATGAACATAACATGCTAGCTTTCTTTATTTTGTAAGTCGCGTCGGCTGACATCTTGGGTTGTACTGGATGTAACAAGTTTATTATCGGATGTCTATTTATATTTATTATGATATCATTATTCATTGTAATGGCAATAAAATTTAAATTTTGTTTTACTTAAAATTTTGTTTTACTTTTCAGTGTTGATGACTCGTGAGTTATACTTAGTTTTTTTTTCTTCCTCATTTCTCTTGTACAACTTGTCCAGGGGAACATTAAGGTTTGATGGTGCATTTGGGTGTGTTATTCTTACATCCATGAAAGTCCTGGCATTCCTGCCATATAATCCAGTTGCAACAATATCTAGCCTTGCTCCGCTGTCAGTAGTAGTTCCTTTGGGATGAAGTTCTGGAGACGTTGGTAGGAGAGCTGGCTCAGTATAAACGTTTCTACATTTAGCCTCACGTAGTAGATCTGCTTCGGTTTCTACAAGCACTGTATGTCTAAAGGAAACATACCCTCCTTTTTTACAAGAAAGGGCATGATCGACGGAGTTTCTTTCTCCACACGCACAGTGTTTAGCAATATCTTGTATAGGCCAGCCATATCGCCAGTGGCGTAACGAAGGGCCCTGCTGACCCTGCTGTGCAGGGGGGCGCCGTCTTAGGGGGGCGCCAAATCGTCGTTTGAATGTGGGACAATTTCGAAAACTTAACTAAAGTACTAGCAAAACTGCGCGTTTTGCTCTAGATACACACTTTTTTAGAGATTTTACCGGCGTATCCTCTTAAATCGCCTAATTTTTTCAATTTTAGGGAGGGGCACCAAAAGGAGAGGGGGCGCCAACAGGGGGGCGCCTTTTCGGCAGGGGGGCGCCAACAGGCAACGTTACGCCACTGCATATCGCAAACATATACCATCTCTAAAGTCCTTCTTGTTCAAGCAGTAACCATAAGACTGCATTGGGAGGGCTGACAGCCAGGATGAGCTGCCTTAAGTGAATACTGATTGTGACTTTGCCCCACGAAAACCTCACTGAACCTCTACGCGGTGTGGGGTGGGTGGCTCGAACGGATGGTGCATTGGTGTTTCTAACCTATGCAAAGGATGGGACTAGCCATCTCTACAACAAAGGAAAGGCTTTAATAGCCTCTACTAACCTTAGAACCGCAGCATAACCGCTTTTCCCACCGGCAAATAACACCTTCCACAGGAAACTAACGCTCTCACAGGCCTCCACGTCTTGTGTACCCTAGGATTTGGGTTTGGCTCGGACACTTAAAACAACGATAGAGGAGCGGTCTACACGCTCACAGGCTACCACGTCTCGTGTAACCCCAGGATTTAACACGCTCACAGGCTACCACTTCTCGTGTAACCCTAGGACTCTAACACTTAACAGACTCTAACACGCTCACAGGCTTCCACGTCTCGTGTACCCTAGGATTTTGTTTTTGGATCAGACACTCAAAATAACAATAGAGGAGTGGTCTACACGCTCATAGGCTACAATGTCTCGTGTAACCCCAGGATTTGACACGTTCACAGGCTACCACGTCTTGTGTAACCCCAGGATTTAACACGCTCATAGGCTACCACGTCTCGTGAAACCCTAGGACTCTTACACTTAACAGACTCTTACACTTAACAGACTCTGACATGCTCACAGGCTTCCACATCTCGTGTACCCTAGGATTTAGTTTGGATCGGACACTCAAATCAACAATAGAGGAGTGGTATACACGCTCACAGGCTTCCATGTCTCGTGTAACTCCAGGATTTGATTTTGGATTGGCCACTCAACAAAAAAATGGTAGAGGAGCAGTCTACAGTGACGTTACAGGAACATTGCATACTCATACCAGTTGCACGTAGCAGGCCATGACTTCTCTGGAAGTCCCTGTCTCTCCATCGTTAACCTGGCGCGGTTGCAGTAGGGGCGGTGGTAACAGAACTGTAAGACTCTCAGTCCTCAGAGTCTGTTGTCGATATCTATGTTTAATATATTTATGGTATATAATTTGGGAGTCTCTCTCTCCAGCAGCAGGAGTTGGGGAAATGGGGACGCGTTGTGAAAGCCACCTTAATGAAGGCTTACTGTCGACGCCGACCAATCAAAAGAAAGATTGTGACTTTCCTTAAAATCAAAGAAATTTGCGTTATAGCGCTTCGGTTGCTGTCCTATGAGCAGGTTCCAACCAATCAGGCCATTGATTGAGTGAATAAATCACAGATTAAGTGCCGGGATCATGTGTCCGCCAGATCTTAAAATGGTCACAACTCGGCTTGGTTGTAAACAACCAATTTGAAATTTTGGGAAACCACATGTGTTATCAAACCAAATGTGTCTGGAAATTTTGGAGTTCATAACTCAAAACATTCTCACTATGGTGACAATAGAGAAAAAGAGGGAGTGGCATGCCACACCCTCTGTAATTGATAAAATTATACGAAATTTTCAGGAAATCTAAGTTGGACCCATATCTGTATTCTCTGAAATTTGTGCGCAATTCTGACACGAATTACGTGAGTTATTAAAGGGTTGCGTGTGGGTAGTTACTTCTGGGCCACCCTGTATGCTGTATGTTTGACCTTTTGAATACCCTTTGAATGACAAATTATGAACAGTACGGCTCATGGAACTGTTCAATGGTGCTCCATATATCCCCTTTCCTCACATAAAGTTGTTGAATACGGACGAGGAAATTGTCATAAACTGACGCAAAAACTTCTTTGTTGCTGTTCAATTTCTTAATTTCTCTTTAAATACTTTCTCTTTTAATACTTTCAACACTACTATATAACAAATAATTTGAGGTATGATCCCGAGCCTCAAAGCTATGAAAAATGACAAGGCTGCAGGCCAAACGCCCAGCAGTGAAGAAGCAGAGAAAAAGATAAAGAAGCCCTCAGAAAAAGGTACTGTTAAAATAAAAAAACCTATACTAAAGATTAAAGATGTTTCTAAAGATGTTTCTAAAGATGTTTCTAAAGATGTTTCTAAAGATTTTTCTAAAGATTTTTCTAAAGATTCTAAAGCCCCCCTAAAGAAAAGTGCCATTAACCCAAAAACAGTCCCCAAGTTTAATCTCAAAGGGCTGTGTTGTCGGTGTAAAAGTGATAACATGGCCTATGAGTCCATTTCTTGTCAGATATGTAAAGACGTTTTCCACGCATGTTGTAAGGATAAGGCTGGCACACTTATGCCCACGTCTATTTGTTCACGGACTTTCCTGACGAATATTTTGCCAGTAATTCACAAACACGGTAATACATATTCTCAAAGATATGGTGACTTTGGCTGAAAAATGACAAGGCTGCAGGCCAAACGCCCAGCAGTGAAGAAGCAGAGAAAAAGATAAAGAAGCCCTCAGAAAAAGGTACTGTTAAAATAAAAAAACCTATACTAAAGATTAAAGATGTTTCTAAAGATGTTTCTAAAGATGTTTCTAAAGATGTTTCTAAAGATTTTTCTAAAGATTTTTCTAAAGATTCTAAAGCCCCCCTAAAGAAAAGTGCCATTAACCCAAAAACAGTCCCCAAGTTTAATCTCAAAGGGCTGTGTTGTCGGTGTAAAAGTGATAACATGGCCTATGAGTCCATTTCTTGTCAGATATGTAAAGACGTTTTCCACGCATGTTGTAAGGATAAGGCTGGCACACTTATGCCCACGTCTATTTGTTCACGGACTTTCCTGACGAATATTTTGCCAGTAATTCACAAACACGGTAATACATATTCTCAAAGATATGGTGACTTTGGCTGGACATGTCCTAACTGTAAGAAAGCTCTCCTTGCAAAAACTGCTGTTAAAACTGCGGACTCAACTTGCAATACAAGCATGGACAGCACCAAGAGTGTGGCTAGCACCAAGAGTGTGGCTAGCACTGAAAGTGTGGCTAGCACTGAAAGTGAGACTACTACCACTACTGATACAACTTCAAGCAATGGAGATGAGAAGGCATTGATTGAAACTTTGAGCAATTTTAAAGTAAGTTTACTGTCAAGTGTAGAAGAACTTATTTCCATCAAACTTAAATCACACATAGATTCTTTGCTCACAGAAGTACCAAATCTTACACGAAGATCCAGCACCCCTAGTAGTGCATCATCTATCCCTAGTAGTGCATCAGCCCTAGCCCTGCAAACACCTAGTTCTTTAATTGCTTCCCCAATGAAGACTACCAGTTCACTTTCATCTTCAAAGAGCTACAGTGCTGCGTTGTCTCCTGAATCGGCTATAGATAGCTCCACTAGTACTGCTACTGAGAACTACATAGAACTAACCAAGAAGGAAACTCCTATGCAAAAACTTCCCTCTGGCAATATCCATAATAATTCTCCTGATAATCATGTTATCGTCCTCAATGTAGAAGCTAGTAATACTAATCTTGAGGAAGCAGGGAAGCTAGCTAGTAAAGCCCTTGGTACAATACCCATGATCTTCTTGACCCCTAAACCAAAGACAGGCAAAATTGTTATCTCCTTCCCTTCAGAAAAAGATAGAGAGGATGGGAAAATAGCCCTCGCAAACTCATCAGCTGTAACTTCGTCCAAAATCACTGTTAATGATGCAAAGAAAATGTTCCCGAAAGTCACAGTTACGAATATCCCAAACAACTTAATCTCCCACATTGTCTCTGAAAATCTATCAGTTCCTGAATTTCGAGAAAAGGTTAAAACCTTTATGGAATTGAAGCTTCTGGAAAAGAATCAATATGTTAAAGATTTGGTGACTAAGCATGATAGAACATTTAAAGTTGTGTACCCCTATCAAGATTCTAAAAAAAGTGCGATGAGATTGGATTTTGACACTAGAAGTGCGATTTTCACGTGTCACGTGCAGTGGCGAAATGTACTCCCCACCCCCCCCCCCCCTCCAGCCTGCAAGATTTCTTGCCCCACAAATTATTTTCTATTTAAAAAGATTTCGCGAGTCCCTTTGTAAGCGAAAAGTATGTCACTGTTATTGGATCCATAAATAACGAAAAATTTACGTGCGTATTTTGATGAATTATATTAGGTTACATATTGTAATTATGGTAACCTCACGTAGCCCGATGGTTTAGGGCGCGCTCGTCAAGCAGATGACTCGGGTTCGAGTCTCGTCAGTGGTCATTCTTTTGGCAATTATTAATTATTTTACTAAAATTATCATCAGAGCACCTTGTAATATACGTTATCCGATAGATTATACTGTTCGTACTTCATCTAGAGAACTAAGAGAAGACTGGCATTTAAGGATTTGTCCGGGGAAGGCCTCGTTCACACTGGAACATGTCAAATTATTGTAAACGGAGTTATCTGGTAATGTTTGTTTTGTTTATGGCTAGAATTTAGAATGGAATCAATGTGATGAGGATCCAGAGTTAATTACCTGCTAGGATTAATAAGTCAGTTCTCCAGACTCCCAGTTGAAGAGACCCTTTCTCAAACTTTTAATGAAGAAATATTCACTATGCTTATGGCAGTATCAAGTATATTCTGAGAAAGATGTAATGGAGTAGACTGTAGCCAGGAATAGTACCTTCTTTAATGGTAACCATGGTAACTATAGTAACCACTGTGAATCTTGATCTTATAACAACTAGTATCCTTTAAGACTTAGACAGTACAGTGAATAAACACGCTGAAAATGCAAGCGCGCGACCGAATATGTAGTGCTGAAAGAGGGTGCCGAAATCTCGCGGAGAATCTCGCGATATCGTGAGCCTAGCTATGAGATTTAAACGAAACTCGCAAAAATCTGGCAAAAATCTCGCGCGCGTTACGTCGAAGTTTTCACGCTATAAACAAGTGATAAAATACACGTTAAGAGTATAAAATACATGTTAAGTTCCTAATTCCCTCAACTTTTAAGTTAAACTTTTTCTGTTTCCTCATTTATTTACAAATTTTGTGCGATGAGTCCGGCTCGCAATCTCGCATAAATCTTGAGCTGGGGTTGTGTATGTCAATTATGGAAGAGACTACACTACTGTTGGGATTAAAGTGTCTCCTGACATAAGGCATTTCCTGTTAAACAATCAGTCCATTTACATAGGAAATTCCAGATGTAAAGTAGTTGATAGATTTGATCTTAAGCAGTGCTTCCGATGTCAGAAACTGGGACACATTTCATCTCAGTGCAACGAAACTGATGTTATTTGCATGTATTGTAGTGCATCACACATAACACGGGCTTGTCCCTACAAAGAGGTCAGAAGAAGTCACAGATGCACCAACTGCTCACACTCCACCTATGAATCATACAGAGAATCTTGTAACACCCATCACTCTGGTGCTGAAAACTGTCCCATAATAATGCTGGAGAAAGAGAGTCTTAGACAAAGAACAGAGTACTCAAAAAACATGTGAAGACTACGCTTCTCAACCTAAATGTCGGACTGTTTAACACGAGGTCACTATGTAATAAAACTGCACAAGTATTTGAGCAACTGTCTGACTCCAATATCAATGCCTGTTTCCTGACAGAAACTTGGCTACGTAAGGGAGATACGTCAAAAATAGCGGAAATTAAAGACCTAGGCTATAATATTGTTCACCAATCTAGAGCTGGTAGAGGAGGTGGTGTCGCTATTGCCTTTAAGAAAGATCTTAGCTTCAATAAACGCCCTACAAAGACCCATAAATCCTTTGAACATGTTGAGAGTGTGCTGAAGTCAAGTTCCAATGACCTTCTTCGTTTCTGCTGTGTCTATCGATCTTGTACGGCTAAAATGTCCAAAATGACAGACTTTTTACGGGAATTTGATGAATATCTTGACAGTCTAACTCACCTTCCAGGTAGACTGATCATTGCTGGAGACTTCAATATCCATGTCGAAGACCTCACTGATCCTGATACGATAAATTTTATCCATCTCATATCAAACTATGGCCTCATCCAGCATATTTCCAGTTCAACACACATTGGGGGTGGAATCTTATACCTTGTTCTTACTAGAAGCAATGCGTGTGATATGTTGAACATAAAAGATATAGATGTAGCTAAAACAGTAACAACATCAGATCACTACTTCGTAAATTTCTCTATTGCCTTTCCTCACCACAAAGGAAGCAACAAAGAAGATATGGTGGGCAGAAAGATATCAGATATAGACATAAATCTTTTTAAGGAGGATCTGTTGCTATCTGACATAAATGACCCCAACAAGTTTATTGACTGCAACTCTGCCACGGAACTCTATAACAGAGAACTTCGCAGAATTCTTGATAAACATGCTCCCCTTATCTGTTTTAGCATTAATCCTGATCAAAGCAAGTGGGTGGACACAAAATGTCAAACTGCCAGAAGGAAACGAAGAAAAGCTGAACGTGACAACAGGAGACTTAAAACTGCAGATTCAAAATTAGACTATAAAAAAGCTGTTAAGCATGCCGAGGCAGTTATAAACACCACTAGACAGCTATACTATGAAAATCGTCTGCAAAGCTGTGAGGACAATAAAAAAGATACCTACAAAATAGTCAATCAGCTGATGGATCGGGACATATCTAAAAACTTGAAGCCTAATAACAAACCTGCTGAAACTCTATGTGAGGAGATGAAAGAGTTTTTCAATGATAAAGTGGAAAAGATTTACTCTGCCATTAACAATGATACTGCAGCTGACATTCTTCTTGACCACTCTGAACCATTTCAAGGTGAAGCCTGGAGCCAATTTGAAACCATAAGCGACAATGATCTCAAAAAGATTCTTTCTGACCTTAACAAAAAAGAATGTGAAGAGGATCCCATCCCTCTAAAACTTCTAATGCAGTGTTTTAATGAAGTTAAACCAATTGTGTCATTTATTATCAATGACTCACTTGTCACTGGAAAATTTCCGTCAGTCCTAAAGAGTGCTCTTGTCAGACCAGCCATCAAAGATGATAAAGGAGATGTCAATAGCTTCAACAACTATAGACCGATTAGTAACTTACCTTTCCTCTCGAAACTCATTGAAAAGAGCGTCCAGAAACAGATGACCAAACATCTTGACTATCACAATCTTCATGCTGAGCATCAAAGTGGTTATAGGTCAAATCATAGCTGCGAAACTGCGACCCTTACCATCTACAATGATCTTCTTTGTATCAGTGACATGAAAAGTAAGGTTATCCTCCTCCTTTTGGACCTCAGTGCTGCTTTTGATACTGTAAATCATCACTTGCTCCTAAAAAAACTAAAAAAGGACTTTGGTTTTGAAGGTACTGTTCTCGAATGGTTTACATCATACCTTAATAACAGATCCTTCACAGTAACTATTGATAAATCAAGATCAAAGAGATGCTTCCTTAGAATTGGAGTCCCGCAAGGTTCAATTCTAGGTCCAATTCTGTTTATACTTTACACAAAGGAGCTCAATCAGATCGCAAAGAGACATGGATTTAACATCCACATGTACGCAGATGACACTCAACTGTACATTGAGTTTAACCCACTATTTCGAGATCTCTCAACAATCGAAGAGAGAATAACAAATTGTTTTGAAGATATTAAGACCTGGATGACCCAAAATAAACTCAAACTGAACCAAAACAAAACAGAAGCTCTTGTAGTACAGACCAAGAACAGTTACTCTTCATGTCCAGTCGATTCAATACAACTTGACAATGCAGCTGACCCTGTGGATGCATCCCGCACAGTGAAAAGTTTAGGTGTCCTATTTGATCAATTCCTAACATTTGAAGACCAAATAAATTCAATTATCAGTTGCTGCAACATCCATCTGAGAAACCTTCGAGTTATAGGCTCAAAGCTTAACTATGATCTAAAAAGACAGCTCATTCACTGCTTGATCTTTTCAAAACTAGACTACTGCAATGGACTCTTATACGGTTTACCTGATCTTCTAATAAAGAAACTCCAGAAGGTACAAAATTCCTGTGTTCGATTCTTGTTTGGTTGGAAAGCTATCAAAAAATGGGACAGTGTCACTCCATTCCTGAAAAAAGCCCATTTTCTTCCGATACGACAACGAATAGAGTATAAGATTGCTCTAACCGTGTTCAAATGCGTTAACAACATAGCGCCAGAGTATATCATCAAATGTATTGACATCAAAAGTCAACCTGTACGTGTACTAAGAACTGAAGAAGACTATTTCCTCCTAAATGTTCCTCCTATTTCAAACTATAGTAAAACCGAGAGAAGTTTCAGCTACTGCGGACCCTCTGTTTGGAATAAGCTTCCTTATCAATTGAGAACACTAACCGATATCGTCTTATTTAAAAAGAAACTAAAAACTCATCTCTTTGAAAACGTATTTGTATAAGTATCATGTATTACCTTTCTCATAAAATCCATACTTCATAAAAATAAGTTCTTATGTACATGTTACTCATGAGTCGCTTTAGATGGTTTGAACTGAATCTTTGGGTTTTGAGTTCTTTATGGCTATAAAGCGATGTATAAATTCCTACTTATTATTATTATTATTATTAAATTGCATTTTTCAGATCTTCCACACTTTTGGGCACAGGATCTCTGTAAACGTAAAAACTTGAGAAGTCACCATTAAACCTTAGAACTACCAATAACTTTTTACAGAATGAAGTTTAGACAAATAGATTAACAAGAAATAGGCCGCTTTTCTTTTGTGGATGGCCACTCAATTTCCCGATCCGTGATGGCGTATTTTATCATATTCCATACAACCTGGGGACCCCAGTTTTTACTGTTTATAAGCATGCAGATATGGCGGAGTGCAGACAGGCCGAGCGCCACCCAGTTAATATAATTCCATAAATTGAATTTGAAAATCGTGTATATTTCTATGTAACCATATGTTTATTGTTTGTGAAATCTGACACGGATCTGTGCAAAATAGTAATACTAACTCAAAATAATAATAATATGCTATCAATTAGTAATAAAAAACCTCGTTCGCCAACCCTTGTCCTTGACTCTTTTGTGCCTTCGCACTTAGAGTCATGGATCGGGAAAAAATTATCCAAAAAGAACATCCTCACAAGACTTTTGAAACACCTTGTATTTTTGACCTTTTGAATACCCTGCAGAATGGCAAATTATGAACAGTACGGCTCAATGGTACCGTTCAATGGTGGTGCCAAACGGAAAAGAAAAAAGCAATTAATAAATGAAATAAAGAAACAGGTTTGAAACTTAATTACCTCCACATTTTCAGAATACCCTTGCTTACCAAAACTAAGGATGCTGAAAATTTTTTCCCCATTGTATTTCAATCATATCATATTTAAAGCTTAATGTACATTGCATTTCAGCTGGGGTTTTATTTTAGTGATTCGAATCTCGCAAAGGACAAATATCTTCGAGAACTCATTGAACAAGATCCAGATGGGTGTAAGTTTTTACTTTTTTATTTTAAAACATTGACAATTGAAACTCTTTCATCGCTTAATAGCTGACAACTTACTGACATACATTTCTCGACTTATTTAATACCAATTTAATCAATACTTGATCCTGATTCCTGGTATGTAACCTGGATATAATGTACTCATGATTACATGGTTTTATCATGACCTTATATCATTACATTTCAGATGTTCAACTGGAAAAAATAGAAAGCTTTGGTCGCATCGCAGAGATGAATTGTCCAAAATCACTCCTGATAAAAAGCATTACATTCCTTTCTGATTTGGAGCTAAATTCTGATCGAACTCGTGTGAGACGCAAAACACCCTTAAACTACGATTACTCTGCAGATGACAGGACCATTTACATTGTTAGTATTGTTGAGAAAATAATTCCAGTTTTGTGATGTTATTAACATTCAGTTCAAACACGCTTCTATAAGCTAATTTAAGATTAATTAATTATGAATCATAACCTGAGAATATTTTCTCTGTTTTTGTATTTTACTCATATTTTCACTAACTATCCAGGAGAACCTCCCAGTAAAGATGGATCACAAGAGACTGGAACAGGCCCTTAGTAAATATGGTACTATCATGCACATTTCACTGCCTCGATTCAAAAATAACAATGAATTCAAAGGGTTTGGATTCATAGAGTTTCAAAAAGTGGAAGAGGCTGAAAAAGCCCTACAGGTAGTTATATTTTCATAGTACTAGCTGTTGATTGAAAACGTTTAACCTCGTATTATCTTTTTTGTCGTGAATTTAGAATGCCTTGAAAATCACACTAACTGTTTTCACCAGGGATTAGGTTGGGAGTGTGACAGTAAAGAAACTGCCGAAGAAGAGCTGAAGGCGGAGATAAAACCTGAACATTTAGCGAATTTAGTGCCCCTAAAATATCCGTTTGACGATTCAGAAGTACAGTCCGACATCATGAACCCTCCAGCTTGCTTGAGAACAAACGGTAAAGCCGAAAATATGCAGCATTTTGTGCCGCTACAATACCCTTTTGAAGAGTCAGAAGCTCACTCAGAGTTCATGAATCCCCCAACTAGTCTGTGGCTGAGGTCTGAACCAGTGACCCCAAGCACCAGCACACCTGATCTCAGCAGTGCTAGTGTTGGAACACCAGGTAAAACATTTGCTTACATTTTTAAACTTGTTAAATTCCACTGAGTAGTACTGAGTTGTATAGTGTGCAAAGGCCAGTACAACCAAGATTCCTTAACGTTATTTTAACGCTGTTTATTTTAGATGCCCATTCTGAGACTGAGCTAGGTAAAGACGAGCATCCCAAGAAGAAACGGAGAAGAAGGCGCTCTTCTATTTGCTTGTCTGAACTGAAGACTCCAGACACTGTTAATAAAAGGAGGTTAATAATATGCTTTAAATAGTACAGTTTTATTTCATTATATATAAGTAATTAAATGGAAACATTTTATACTAAATTAATGTGGGCGTTCAAGTCACAAAAGAGTTTCTAAATTTAATGCCTTACTTCTTAGTCGTTCCTAACTGAAATATTTTCCCAGAGATCCGTTGCTGTTAGTGAACACGCATCAAAGTACGGGTCAGACACCGCTCACAAACTCTGCCCGGAAACGAAAGAGAACAAGTTTGGAAGCAAGCTCTCCAGTCGGGAACAACAAGGTTAATGATTTACTGCAAAAACCTTTCAATATAAGACCTATTTTTTCACCATTTACATTCTTCCAACTATTGGTCGAACCTAATAGTATCTTGTATAGTTAGTGCTTACGTTAAATCTTGTTTCGGTTCTTTTGCGATAGTCAAAACGCGACAACTAGCGCTGGATGGCGACAACTAGCGCTATCCAGCGCTAGTTGTCGCCATCCAGCGCTAGTTGTCGCGTTTTGACTATCGCAAAAGAACCCTTGTTTTTATATTTAAAGCTAAATTTGCTGTATTTTCTCCTCCTAACCAACTATTTTCTTGTCAGGTCAGGAGAGTGCTGAATGTTTCCTCCGCCTCGGTAATATCGTGCTCCGATAGTGATAACCCAAAGCTGGAGACATCTGATGCTGAGCTGAAGAAACAGCTGAAGATTGTCAAAGCCAAGAGACGAAAGAAGAAGAAGCAGAAACTGAAGAAGAAATCTGAATTGCAAGATATTAGAGTTTTCCCGAAGTTAAAATGGATGGAATTGAAAGTAATGTACAAGAATTTGCAGAAGCAGCAAATATCGGAAATTAAAAATGATCTTGGAATGAAGGTATGCGGAGTTTGAGGTCTACAAAATTGAAAATCACTTCAAATAACTTTGACTGCTTCAAATATGTTGAAGCTACCTATTATTTTGGAAATTTCTGAATTTTCCCGTTCTACTTTCTGCCATTTTACTTATAATTACAAAGTTACAAACTATCCTTCCAGTGTCGAGGATCCGATAAACAGACGATCAGACTGCAGGGAGTAGAGCATGAATCAGATGAAAGGGTCAGATCTCTGTTCAGCGAGTCTGTAGTGTCAGTGATTAGACACAGTAACGCAGTTTACATAAGGTAGGCACTGGGTAGATCTGGAGTAGTTAGATGTATCATAACATGGACTCTTGTTGTTAGGCTCGTCATACTGGTATTTTGTTTTTAACATATGGTAATTACTGTGTAGTATCCTTTCTTCGTCTCGTTTAAGAGGTGAGGGCAGTAATATATATAATATATATAAACAAGAACCACAGCTGATACAGGAATGTTTTGATTCTATGATCACTCCTTTTTCTCAACTTATTTTGTTTGTGTTACTCTTCAGACTGTTCCTTTCTTCAGGTTTACAACAAATCCTGACAGTTATAAAAGGGCTAAATTACCTTCACACGTATCAGTAGATCAGATTACCGGTCAGGAGAGTGATATGATAGCGAAACTAATAGCCAACAGTGCTGCCAAAAGGTAACGACCCCGCCATTTATCTACTTGTGCAGCCTGCCTCATTTTGTGTGATGGTCAAATTCTAACCGAACGTAGTGTTGTAAAATTTGCTGTAAAATTTGCTATATTTAAGACATTGCATGATTTGTAGTCTTGTTGAACCAGTTATTGGGTAATAATTTATCATGCGAACATACATTAGGTATCAGGAAGCGGCCAAGAGACGGAAGCTACGAGGCTACACGAAAGTTATAAAGAAGTGTTCAGCTAAAGACCAGACCTCTCAAGATGTTTCTTGACGTTTCTACACTGGGGGGGGGGGGGGGGGGGGGTCCACTTCAACTCTGTTCTCTGTTTCTACACTTCAACTCTGTTCTCTGAAAATTCCGACCTGACTTACGACTCCCACCCCCTGTTCCTTTCACATTAGTTCCCGCTAATACCATATTACACTTCTGTCAAGGTTGTGAATGAATTCCATTTAACATGGATTTGTGTTAAATCTTTAAATGCATAATTTTCAGACGAATTATCTGAAATCTTGTTGTGATTACTCCCCCGTTGAGCAGTTTATCGCATATTTCGAAGTAAGGAATAATTTAACCCAATCAGTTTAAATTAGGATCAATCATTAACGAGTTTCTGTAACCGAATATCCGTTAATCAACAACTTTAACTGTTTTGTTTTGGTGAATACATTAAGTGGGGTATTGTTTGGGCGTGCCATTTTCTTTGTAATTTTTATAATGAAAGGTTTATATTATTTAAAATCTAGTACGATCGGATTTAATTTTAACTTATTAAAATCGTTTTAACCTCCTTATATTTGTCTAAATTGTTTGACATAAAATGATGCCATTCTTGTCTCAATTTCATAACTCCATTTTGTTAATTACAAACTGATTGAGAGAGTCCAAGGAAAGTTTCTAACCTGGGAGAACACCATGCAGCTAGACACTGGCTGGCAAAGCCTGCTGTATACCTTGAGCCCCGAGCTGACAAAGTTCCACCTAAATGCCATCCACGACGTTGCAAGTACACCTAGCAACCTCCAGCTTTGGAACTACAGCTCCACGAACAACTGTCCCCTTTGTGGGCGTCAGCAGTGCAACCTAAAGCACATTCTAACGTGTTGCCCAGTGTCGCCGTTAACAAGGAAGGTATAATTGGAGACATGATCAGGTGCTCAGGGTAATCGTGCAACCAATTGCAGAGAAGCTGAGGGAGATAAACAGTGCTACCCCAAAGACAGAAGTAAAGAGAGAGTGGAGGAAGTTCGTATCCGGAAAAGGAACCTACAGGAAACCCGAAGTACGGCTTACAGAAGAACCTCATCTTCTAGAGGAAGGTAACGACTGGAAACTAGTGTTTGATGAGGACGAAAGGACAAGACAATTCCCCCAACATATTGTCAACACAGCTCTCAGACCTGATGTGGTAATATACTCTAACACACTCAGGAAAGTCATCCTGATAGAGCTGACCTGTGGAAACGAGGAGAACTTTGAGGACCAGAGATCCCGGAAAGAGAAGAGATACGAAGAGCTAATGGTGGAGATCGAGACCGCAGGCTGGGAAGGATATCTCTTTACAGTAGAAGTTGGATGTCGTGGATTCTACCACCACACATTACCCCGAATTTTCAACTTCCTTAACATCACCCGGGCAAAGAAGAAGAGGGCACTTAACACAACAGCGGTGGTGTCCCTGAAAGGTTCCTACACTATCTGGCTTAGTCGCTACAACAAGACCTGGAGTGACAACTGGCAGCTGGCTGAAAGACCCTGCCCAGTTTAACCCTGATGAACAGCTGAACGTTGGGCCCTTAAAACGTCGTTGAAAGCTACATCTGGGGTCGTAAGTCCCAGACATCAGAAGAAGTCAGAGAGTGTAGAAGATTCTGCGTCTGAAAAGACTAGAGAATTGAGGTAAATATAGTTGGTTTGGTCTCAATAGCCATGTAATAATTAGTATATCCGGTCACTACAAATTTTAGAACGTCAGCTGTTAATATATCCGGTGCTGAGAAATATGATAAAATATATACTGTTCAACTAATCATTACAATAAAATAAATATTAATTTAAACATGCGATTAATTACGTCTCACAACTCGCGCTCACCCAACCCTTCAATTACAGTACCATGACGTTGGATAGTGCTGGAAGTTTGTTAAAAGAGTATAAAGTGTACGTAAAGTACCTGATCCTATTTTCACTTGCATATCTCGTGAAATGCGTGTTTGAGTATCTGTACAACCGGTCTAGTATACTGAACAATGTCGCTGACTCCTCGGCTCCGAATGTAAGCAAACTATGTGTGAGGTCTTGTGGAATTCATTTTATGTGCTTGTTTTTATTATGTAATGTATAGCACGATGTCCTGACTTTGGCAGACAATTTTTAACGTCAGTGTTAACTGTTAAGATAACGTGAAAGTGTTTGAGTCAGAATTTTGATTTTCATCCTGTAAATTATTTAGTTATATGTTATACAATATTTTGTCTGCATAGTAGCGGGGTAGAAAATACTGTGTTTCGTTTCGTTTCGATTCGTTGCTTTTTAACAGATTATCTTAACCATATTTTAGGTGATAGAAAGTGGCGATAAAGCAGACAGTCCGTTATTTGACAATTCAGATAAAACAGTGGTAGAAGAAAGCCAGGGAGATTACTTCTACAACAAGTATTTGACTGATGTAAGTCAATACTCTGACTAATATTTCCCTGTTTTGTTTGAACTTTTCTTTTCCTCAATCTTTTTTCTTATTTGGGTTACATATATTTCATCATGGCCCTTCTTTTAAAATCCAGAACTTGTAACCAAATACCTACATCACAACACCCTAAGACTGAATCAGAGAAGAACATACACATTCCATTCTCGCTACCTCGATTTGAAGTGGACGAGATGAAGACGCGTGCGCGCCAGTTCTACGAGGTGGTCAACACGCGGCGCTCCTGCAGGTTCTTCTCCCCAGATCCAGTGCCTCGTGATGTGTTGGAACACTGTATTCTAGCTGCCGGCACTTCTCCTAGCGGAGCTCATACAGGTACAGGGAGTGTCAAAAGTCTTGTTAGGACATGTACTTTTTGAATAACTTTTTATTCATTTATCTAAACTTCATTCTGTAAAAAGTTATTGGTAGTTCTAAGGTGTAATGGTGACTTCTGAATGTTGTACGTTACCATGACCACCATAGCAACCGCAATCGGTCCCCTAGCAACCTAAGTAAATTTGGGTGACCTTACAAATCCATGTGCATGGTACTGTTTCACAATTTGACTTTCCATCATCGTCAATTTACTTGTAAGATATTTAATTCAAAAGCTGTGTTTATGAAGGAGCTTTTACTTACTTACAGCAATGTTTTATTTGATGGTACTTCCTTACTGCCGGCTATTTTATTCCTAGTTTCTAATTTTAGTACAAGTAAGAAAGAAGTATTTCTTCAACATATTCAAAATTTTTATACAGTTTAAAATCATCAATCAGTGGTTATTTACACGTCGTGTATTCAATGCATTGTAACTGTTGAGTTACTGTCTAAGTAAAATCGTTAACACTAAACGAGCTTTTTCTCAAACAGCTTTGCAAATTCAATAGCTTTCTTTTGATCAAATTTCTTCTGTTCCTCGCACTGCTTCAAGTTGCCTTTGCACTGTAGGTCGAGTCTGAGTGCCGTCTCGTGTATCTTGCAGTGGTTGTTATAGTCACGTGTCATGCGCCAGTGGCCTCCCTCTATGCCCCAGTCTTTACCCCAACTGTTCCTGAGCAGCCAGTACTTCTCACCTCCCTTCTCTCCGTATCCGACTAGGTTAACAGCGTGGTTAGGATATGCGGTGGCCCTACACAGGTATTTGTCGTAATAAATCCCTGAATCGTAGGCTAGAAGGGACCGTCCGCCCTTGATTCCCACACCGACTACCCCCTCGACCACTGCTTCCATCAAATCTTTTTCAGTTTTAGGGACGCGATACAATCGTTTCAGGCCTGCATTTGTATAACTGTTCGAATAACTGTTTTTTTTACATTCACCGTCTTTAGCCACATATTTGTAGTCCTCACGTGAAGCTAGACGCTTCTCCCTGGTCACCCAGAGGAACCCCGTGTTGATGGAAGCCCCCTTACAGCCATTACCCCATTGTTTTTCCTCGAACACGCAGTCCAATAGTTCTTGGAAGCTGAACTTCTTCCTCAGTCCTGTTGCTCTGTAGTACGCTGACTCGACGGAAGAGATCGCGCAGAAGGCCCAACAGGAGCCACAATTTCTCTGATGTGCAACCTCTGACATGGTGTAACGCCAGTCAATACTCTCCGGTAATTCCACTGCTTCTCTTTTCTCGAGAATTTTTTCTTCAATTAGCACCTCTGAGTCCATGTCGTCAAACATTTCGTCGTCAAAGCTTGCACTCATGTTCATCCCGAAGTGGGTATTGAAGTCACTCTCTGGCTCTATGCTAAACTTGTTGATTTTTGCAGTGAAGGTGGACGTATCGTCGTGGTTTATCTCGTATACTTTTTCAGCGAACTTCTTGAAGTTCATGTAGCTAGATCGACGAGCAGCTTTATCGTCACTAGAGACACCAGTTAAAGTACCCTGTAGGTTCCGTTCTTCGGACTGAGATTATATCTTGTTTAGAATGACCAATTTCCAAATAAGTGGTTTTCATGAAAATAAATGTGATGAAAGTAAAAAGCAATAATATTTCGGGATCTAAAAGTGGTAATGCATGCGAAAATTCGAAGACTTACAGACCGTTGCCGAAACTGTAAGTTTAGAAACTGAGTTTATGATATGTATAAGTTACGAAGTTTTGACTTACATTTTGAGGGGCTGTGGCAAACTTTTTTAAAGCCTCTCGATACTCCTTTGCAATCTCTCTGTTACTCAGCTTAAATGTAGAAACAGCGACATCGGACAGCATCAAGAACACAAGAATAGATAGACTCCGCATTGTTAATTTTGGAAACGAAACCAAGAAAGATTTGAAAGAACTGTCGTTAATATGCCCGAACGTGCAAATTGGTTGAGAAATAGGAAGTTGCTTAGTAACGGTGTAGTAAGGCGCACGTGCAACATCGGGCACGGGCAACAACGCGATTTCTACGAGCTGGTTGAGAAGTGCGCTGCTGCAGGTTCTTCTCCCCATATCCGATACCTTATATGAACTGTTAGAAGTGTTTTCTAGTTGCCGGTATTTTTCAGCAGGGCTCATACTAGTACTTCCTAACTACCCGGGTATTTCATTCCCGGTTTCTAATTTTAGTACAAGTAAGAAAGCAGTATTTCATTAACATATTCAAAATGTTTATACAGTTAAAAATCATTAATCAGCAGTAATTGACACGTATATTCAATGCTTTATAACTGTTGAGCTAAGACTAAAGACCACCGTGATTCAAACTATATCCATTTATAAAACACGTAATCACAGTAAATAAAAAGGATTTAAAGAAAAACTGATCTCTCAATATCCGACAGACCCTTACTAAGTAAAAATGTCTAACATTAAACGAGCTCTGTCTCGATCTGCTTCTCAAGTTCATTAACTTTCTTCTGTTCCTCGCACTGCTTCCTGTTGTAGCACTGTAGGTCGAGTCTGAGTGCCGTCTCTTGTATCTTGCAGTGGTTTTTATGGTCACGTGTCATGCGATAGTAGCCTCCCTCGCCCCAGTCTTTACCCCAACTGTTCCTGAGCAGCCAGTACTTCTTACCTCCCTCCTCTCCGTATCCGACTAGGTTAACAGCGTGGTTAGGATATGCGGTGGCCCTACACAGGTAGCGGTCGTAATAAATCCCTGATTTGTAAGCTAGAAGGGACCGTCCGCCCTTGACTCCCACACTGACTACTCCCTCGACCACTGCTTGCAGCAAAGCTGATTCAGTTTTAGGGACGCGATACAATCGTCTTAGGCCTGCATTTGTATAGCTGTTCAAAGTCGTGTTTTTTCTACATTCACCGTCTTTAGCCACATATTTGTAGTCCTCACGTGACGCTAGACGCTTCTGCCTGGTCACCCAGAGGAACCCCGTGTTGATGGAAGCCCCCTTACAGCCATTACCCCATCTTTTTTCCTCGAACACGCAGTCCACTAGTTCTTGGTAGCTGAACTTCTTCCTCAGTCCTGTTGCTCTGTAGTACGCTGACTCGACGGAAGAGATCGCGCAGAAGGCCCAACAGGAGCCACAATTTCTCTGATGTGCAACCTCTGACATGGTGTAACGCCAGTCAATACTCTCCGGTAATTCCACTGCTTCTCTTTTCTCGAGAATTTTTTCTTCAATTAGCACCTCTGAGTCCATGTCGTCAAACATTTCGTCGTCAAAGCTTGCACTCATGTTCATCCCGAAGTGGGTATTGAAGTCACTCTCTGGCTCTATGCTAAACTTGTTGATTTCTGCAGTGAAGGTGAACGTATCGTCGTGGTTTATCTCGTTTACTTGTTCAGCGAACTTCTTGAAGTTCTTGTAGCTAGATCGACGAGCAGCTTTGTCAAGGCCAATAGTTGTATCGGGCAGATTAATTCTCTGGAACTGTGGAACCTGTGGTCGGTTTGGTGGTTAGAGTAACAAGCTTCCACTGCAGTTTTAAATTTGCGGTTATCATAACAACAAATCTGATGTAAGGCATAAGCATACTAAATTATGGCATCAAAAAGTCGTGATCCACAAAATAAAATTCAAAGACTCAACATTTATTGCCAAGACTGTACAAATTAAAGTATGTATAAATTACGAAGTATTTACTTACATTTTGAGGGTCTGTGTTGAACTTTTTAAAAGCCTCTCGATACTCCTTTGCAATCTCTCTGTTACTCAGCTTAAATGTAGAAACAGCGACATTGCACAACATCAAGAACACAAGAATAGATAGACTCCGCATTGTTAACTTTGAAAAAGAAACGAAGGAATATTTGAAAGAACTGACGTTGATCGCAAGCTGAACGCAGTATTTATGTCATAGAGAAGCTTGTTAATTAATAATAGCCTGGTCCTGAGGGTCCTCTGAAACAATACAATCAGGTAATGATAATGGACCATGTTAAAGTGGTAGTGATAATAGGATGACATCTGAGCCTATTTAGCATTTCCCCGATCGTTTAGCTAGTTTGATGTAGTCTATTTATTCTGGATAAAAGACGTTCCACCTCATTAACAACTAAACACTATGTAGTCGTGAGCTGTTGTTAGCTCAAATTTCAAAATATTGAGTTTGAAAAGAATCGAAAAAATTTGTGATCGAAATAGTAAAGTTAATTGGATCAACTTTTAAAACTAGTCTTCATCTTCTCTTATTTATCTGAACCATATTATACAGACTCCTCTTGACTTTCAGAACCGTGGCAGTTTGTAGTGGTGTACAACAAAGAAGATAGGGAAATTATCAGGGAGATCGTGGAGGACGAGGAAAAGGTGAGATATCCTGTTTCTGGTATTTTATATTTTATATAGATCAGCTTCTAGATTTTAACCTGTTTATCAATTATTCCTGATTAATTACAACTTTTCCATCCTGTGAGATTTGCAAATTTATTAAGCTGTGCAATAAAAGATTACTTGTACTTGATTACAAAAGATTACCAAAATAAAATTGATAAATGCGGCCTAAAATAAACGAAATGACATCGAATAAAATTCGAAGTATATCACGGAGTCTAGCAATATCATGTGAACAAAAACCAAGCACAATGGCACCCGTGCAGTGCATAATATATATACCTCACTCTAATGCCTCCATGCCATAAGCGTTTGCTCCTTTGTAAATTTATTAAGCTGTGCAATAGAAGATTACCAAAATAAAATAGATAAATGCGGCCTAAAATAAACGAATTCAGGATGAAATTATTTTAGAGGGTGAGATGTTCTTTTAAAAGATAGACCGATTAAATGAGGTTCTAAAGTTGGCCAAAATACTCTGGGAAAGTGGGAAATGACAAGAGACGGAATAAAAGTCGAAGTATATGATAAACTGAGACCAAATGTGTGATTCACGGACTCTAGCAATATCCTGTGAACAAAAAACCTAACTGGAAATGTGTGCTTCTCCGAGCCTTTGTTCTTTAGGATGCAGAGTATTGCTCCTTTATCAAATTTTTCAGATGTAGATAACTTCTGCTAGTGTGTAAGTCTGCATGACATTTGCAGTAATCGTGTCGATAAAACCGAACTTTCTATCATGTTATGATCTTGGCGTCAATCCAACCCAAAAAGGAATTTGATCGGAAATTACTAGGACGTTCATTCCAGCTCTCATCTAAATACTGAACCGAGTTTGTTCCATTTACACGTCGTAATCTTAGATATAAAAACATAACATCTGCAAGGTAACATGTTTCATCAAATTGCAGGTGAATTACGAACGAAGAATGGGAAAGAAATGGTTACAAGATTTGGCAAAAATCAAGACGACATTTGTTAAAGAGTACATATCCGAGGCAGACTGTATAATCCTTGTTTTCAAGGAGCCGTTTCATTACAAAGATAACGTTAAGCACAATAATTGGTATTACGAGGTACGGTATACACGTTCCTTATCATTTTGATCTTATTTCTAATCTTTCACGGAGTTTTATCCGAAGAAAATTGGCCCAACTTACTTGTTTGATCGTCTCGTATTTAAAATAGGAGCTAATTATTTGGCCATTATGATGGGAGGATTATAATGACGCTGTGCAGGCGTCAGTTTCTATCTCTGTCGGTATCCTGCTGTGTGCTCTGAACAATGTCGGACTTGTTACTGTTACTTCTACTCCAATGAACTGCGGACCAGCTATCAGAAGGTAACTAACCACACATTTATACTTATTCTTCTCTTCTGTATAGGTTACCAGTAGTGTAACTTAATGATTGGAAACTGAAGCCAGCTACATGCCTTCTTCATCTCCAAAAATACCAAAAAGCCAAAAGTGGCCTTTCCCTAAATAAGCATGCAAGATCGGTTGTTCATAATTATAAATATTATAAATATCTGGCAGTGAAAGAGATCTGTTGGTCGTACAAGCCTTGTCAGTGTGTGTATGTGATAACTTTACAAACTTAATAATCATACGCGCCACGCCCCATGCGGCCAAATCGTTAGTAATCGTTTGTGTATTATAATGTCTCATCTTAATACGAGCGGCTTATTTTGACAGCTTTACTAACTAAACATAACTGCTTACCGTTCGCGTTATTCGTTTGTGTGATCTTACCTTTGTAACACTAATGTAACACTAATTGTAACACCTTTGTAACACTAATTTGCTCTCCATCAGGTTGCTAGGAAGGCCTGATCATGAGAAGCTTGCGTTCCTGCTGCCTGTAGGTTACCCCGCCACTTCCGCTACTGTTCCCGCTCTGAAGAGGAAGACCATCGATCAGATCTGTACGTTTATATAACGAACTAGCAGGTATAGTAGTATAGTGATATATAGTAGCTACTTCTCGTTACAGGGACCTTACAGCCGATATTTTGTCGATTTTGCATTTGATTCATATCTTTATTTATCGATTGATTATGTTTGATCTGTTTTGTGTGATTTTTTTAATGTAGAAATGTGATTTGCAATTTTCAGTAAAAATTGATTTTCAAAAAGATTTATCACAAGTTTATGTAAATTTATATTATAGTGAGCACCGATTTAGAACTTTTGGTTTTTTAGAGATTCTCAGTAAGGTCAACCAATATAAATACACATAAATTCAATCCAATTATTAACGGGACGCTTTTAATCAATTCTACGATCAAGAAACCACTAATTCTCAATCGGTGCATTATAGTTTCATGGTTTTAATTAGTTATAACTAACTACTTTTACTAATTATACTCGGTTTTTTAAGTTATAATACGATTTTTAGTTATTTTGTCAATTTGTTTAAATTATTATCAATCAAACCTATCCCAATGGCTAGATATGGGTTTATGCACTGCAACAGTGGCTCTAAAGTGGCTCTAAAGACGTTCACGTTTTCGTGTATTTATCAGATAATTTATTTATTTATCTGATAAACACGTTTATGAAGTTAGTCTTATTAGTAGCTGTTCAGACCCTTAAATCTGATATGAAAGTTCGATTTAATACTTAAATCATTTCAAATCACTATTCATACAGTATTTAAACACTTATGATTGTCTTGTTTACAGCATTAAATATAATGGATCATAAGACTGCTAAAATTGATTCAGAATTTAGATATAATAACGAACTGATCTACTTAAATATTTTATCTTTATTAAGCGCAATCCTTTCATAAATTAAGAGCCCATCAAATCTAAACGAATAGAAGAAATCGACTGTACATAATAAAGACATAACAGTACTATATATTGAGTACTATATTGAGTACAATATATTGAGTACTATATATTGAGTAATGTTTGAATGTTAACAGTGTTCTATTGCGTAGCACTGATGAGTAGCGATGAGGAAAGCAAGCTTATATCTCAGTTAACTAAAGAATACGGTCGTGTCCACACTATCTCAACCCGCCAGCTCAAAGAAGAACTCTCCAACTTCGGCCTTGACACTCGGTACTGAATCTTAAATTGACTCTTGAGGTCATTTTAATCTTGATGATTCGATTCGCTATTTTCCAACACAGTCTTGCGAATTTTTGGGATTATAATCGCCGAGTTTAAAGCTACCATTAAGATCGCTTGTTAATGATACTTGTGCTTTAGTTAACCAACTAATTAGTAAACTAATTAGTTAACCAACTGATTCATTCAGTGGGACAGTGTTAGTGCTACAGAAGAGGCTGAAAGAACATTACAGACGTGTTCAGTCATCAGTTCACCCTCAAATAGCAATATGGCACAGGAAAAATCCTCATTCTCACTACGCTATTATTGACTTTGAGGCCACCTGCGATGAAAAGTAAGTTACCAAACTTTTAATAACATATTTAATGAATGTATCTGATGTTGTCCTGTTATGTAGCATATATAGACTGCTATCATTTAATATGGTGTCAATTTCCTATCCCTATCTTTATTTTCAGTTTACCGGAGACGGATTTCATGCATGAAATTATTGAAGTTCCAGTGGTTCTAGTCTCAGCAGCGACTGCAGAAATTGTTAGTAGCGCATGATTTATTACTGATTACTTTGCAAAAGTGGCGTAACGTTACCATTGGCCTCGCTAATCGTCGAGAAAAAAAATTTGTCGATCAAATTTGGTTTTAACTCCCAAGGCCCTTTTGGAAAATTCTTTACATTCGAATGTACAGAGAATTAGCACACTCGACTGCTCAGAGGATAACAAAATGAACTGAAGAGGTGAGGAAACAATCTCAGAGGGTCTGCACTCATCAGTAATTCCAACGCTGTGTTGCCTCTTGAAAGGGTCTACCTTGTGCAAGAAATGTTACGCACGATTGCATCATTTGTTATTAGTGATGCGCTCCTAGTGTAATTATATATTTCCGATCCCGCGCGCACAATACGAATTGGCCGCGCGCGCACTCGCCACTCGATCGTGTCGATCAGGTAAATTTAATTGAGTTCCGATTAAGGTGACCACTGACCAGTGACCACGACCACTGATCCGAGCTAACCGACCCCTATTTACCGAAGCCCTACCAATAATTGTTGGTGTGCAACATATTATTCAAAAACAAGAAATAATTCGCAGCTCCAGTCCTGAATTGTACAAATTAAATGACTGTTCAAAGTTCAGACTGCTTAGAAGTCACTCTATACATATAACATATTACATATTACATATATACTAGAGAAACCCGATGTAATAAAGCGATTTAATCAACAAAATACTCAGTGTGATGTACTTTCAGATAGACATATTTCATGAATATGTTAAACCCAAGATGTGTCCAGTTTTGTCGCCCTTTTGTAAGAAACTCACAGGCATCAACCAGGTAAACTTTATAAAACGAATTACAACACTACAAATCTATTACATTTATTGAGGATATTACAGAATAAATTTATTTAATGTAACTGAGTGGAGTTGGGTTAAAAACATATAAGAGATACGATGATTTAACTTGTAGAAGCTTTCAATAAACATGTGTTAATCGTCGTCAGCTGAATGTGATGTGGTGGACAATGCTTATATGTGATTGAGTGGTGTCAGGGATGGAGGGTGGGGGAGGTGTGGGTGGGAAAGTGAAAATTACAGTACAATGTCAATAAAAATTTAGTCTTCTGTTGAGGTTGAGAAGGAAATGCCAGATGGTCTGGACTTTAAGGATTTGGCAATTTTAGGAAGAATGGGGTCCCAGAGGGAACTACATTTGGGTGCGCGGTCTGTTCTGTTCATAGCTGGTTGTCGTATTTGTATAGCTGCGTGTTCTGTGAGGTCAAGTTGGGAGCGTGAGGTGAGGGATTTGAGGACTTCGATGTTGTTCCAGGAGATGGTGTGGCCGGTGGTCAGGGCATGATGTGCAGGGGCTGATTTGATTCTGTCTGTGGATTCGTCGATGGCGTTGTTGAGTCTGTAACATCGTTCGTGTTCTTTCATACGGTGGACCAAGGGTCTGTAGGTCTGTCCGGCGTATTTGGAGGGGCACTGTGAGCAGGAAATTTCGTAGATGGTGTTGGGAGTGAGGTGAGTAGGGGGTGTGGTCTTCGTTTTGGTGAGGAGGTTGCGGAGGGAGGTAGCAGAGGAGTGGGTGACTTTGATGTCGTGTTGTCCGAGTATCTTGGAGATGGGTTTGGATAGGGAGGGATGGAAAGGAAGAGAAACACTAAGAGCATGTTCACGGGTCTGTCGGTTGAATGAGGCTAGGGATTGGTGGCGAGAGGGGTTGGTGAATTTCCGTTGTACTTCGTCCATGATGGTGGTGATGCGGTGAGGAGGGAAGCCGTTCTGGAGGCAAACGTGTCGTACTGTCTGGAGTTCGTCGTCAAGGTGTTGGGGTGAGCAGATGTTGTGGGCTCTTCTGGTCAGTGATCGGATGACTGCGTTCTTAGATGAGTTGGTGGTGCAGGAGGAGTACTTGGTGTAGAGGTTGGTGTGGGTGGGTTTTCTGTAGACTGATGTGGATTTGTCAGGGTGGATGAGAACGTCAAGGAAGGGTATAGTTCCGTCTGTAGAGGGATGTTCTTGGGTAAAGTTGAGGTCTTCAGTAAGGGAGTTAAGGAATGTAAGGAAGGATTCTGCGTGGTTTCTGTCTCTGAAAGATCCAAGGCCGTCGTCAACGAAATGGGAGTAAGTGTTCGGAGGGTCAGGACATGAGGATAAAGCTAAGGTCTCGATTTCAGCAAGGCGGATTTCAGCTAGTTCAACAATGAGGGGGGATCCCATTGTACCACCTTCGTCTTGGGAGTAGAAGGAGCCGTTGAATTCAAGGTATGAGTTGTCAAGGCAAAAGTTGATAAGGGAGCCTATGGTGGTGGTGGTGACATTGGAGGGAAGACGAGAGGGGTTCTGTTCAAAGGAGGAGATGACAGTTTTGAGGGCTAGGCGCATGTCACAGGAGGTGTACAAGGATTGGACGTCTAAGGAGGCGTGGTAGTGGAAGGAGGGATTGAGAGAGGAGTCGAAGCGATGTTTGAAGTCGGAAGAGTCTTTGAGGCGTAAGGGGTTCTGGGCTAGGGGTTTGAGGAAAGATGCGAGGACTTTGTGGAGGGCTTGGAGGGGGGTGTTGTAGAAGCTGACTACGGGACGGATAGGTGCGCCGGGTTTGTGTATCTTAGGTTGTCCGTAAAGTTGAGGCCATCTAGGATGTAGGTTGCGCATCTTGTGGTATAGGTCGGTCGTGATCTTCTTGTCGGTGTGTAGTTTCTTGAGGACTTTCTGTAGTTTAGTGGTAACGGATTGAGTGGGGTCTTTCGTTAAGAGGGTGTAACTACCTGAGGATAAGTGGTCGGTAACTTTGGTTATGTATTGATCGTGAGTCAGTACAACAGTGGCGTTGCCCTTATCAGCAGGAAGAAATTTCAATTCAGATTTCTTAGATTTTAAAGATTTAAGAGCGGTACGTTGTTGTGGAGTCAAATTGTCGGTGGTCATGTCACGTTTATTGTCAAATTTAGATAATACAGAGGTGACCTGATATGTGGCTGAGGCTTCCATGCCTTCTCCTAGTTGTTTAGTGATATTCTGTATGAGGGGAGCCAGGTCGGGGGTAGGATCTGAGGTGGGTGTCGGGACGAACTTCAGTCCAAGGGAGAGGACGTCAGTTTCAGCTGTGGAGAGGGTCTGTCCAGAGAGGTTGATCACTGTTTTGGCTGTGGTGTCTTTCTTGGGGGTAGGTGAGGTCTTGAGGAGGGGACCATGAAATGTGGGAGAGGGTATGTCGAGCGTTTTAAGAGTGTCGTAGGGTGAGAGGAACGGGGTGTCGTATTCTGAGAGTAGTACCGCGAACTTCTTTTGGTGAGTAAGGAGTTGTTTTCTGTGGGTGTATGAGGATTTTTTGGTGTTGAGGTGTCCTAGTTTCTGAAAATATTGAGGGGTTATGAGTGATTCTATGTGTCTGAGGTTGTGCTCATAAGTGCGTTTGTGTTGTGCATATTTGAGGCGATAGTGGTTGAGTCTTTCAGTGATGAGGAGGTTAGATGCGTGAGTGAGGACTTCAGTTGAGCGTTTGGTGGATAGTGGGTTGGTGAGTCTGAGTCCCTTAGGGATGAGTGAGTGATCACGGCAGGCTTTCAGGAATGATATGTGACATGAGTTAATGGCCATGTGTTCTATGCTGTGAGAGGTGGTTTTGGCCAGTGTGGATGCATGCTGTCCAAATAGTGATATGAGTGAGTCATTAAATGAAAGTTGGGTGGTAGGGTTGATGTGTTGATTAGGTGTTTGTGTTGTAAGGTTGGTGTGTTGATTAGGTGTTTCTGTGGATTCTGCACTGTTTGCTGTCTGATCCATAGGGGTGGTGTTGCGTATCAAAATAAAACTGAGTGGAGTTGGGTTAAAAACATATAAGAGATACATATAAGAGATACGATATTTAATGTAGTTTGAGGAGTCCTAACTCTCCTCACGTCCGACAATGGCGTTTCTCTTGTCGGTAATATGTACTCTTCTCTAAATCTAGACGAACGCCACTTTGTAATAATCATTAATTGTAAATGGATAAACAGAAAACAGGATTCATTTTTTAAGAGCCAATTTTCCAGACTGTTATAAATCAGAGTAGATCATTCGTGGAAGTCTGGAAAGATCTTGAGACATGGATCGAGGAGAAGCGGAATCTCTCTGAAACCGGAATAAATAGTGAAAACGAAGTCATCAAAAGTTTGTGCTTTGTTACCGACGGGTAAGTTTTTAGTGTCAAATTCTGTTTATCTTATTATAAGTGGGTAAGGATTATATTTGCAGCTTTGTTATTACCCATGAGGTTATAAGGTTATAAACCACATTCCTAAATCCTTAATTAACAGGCCGTGGGATTTCAAGAAATTTCTTGCTAAAGAAAGCAGATACAATAATATGGACTTTCCCTCAATGTGTGTTCAATTCTGCAACTTACGACGGAGGTTCTGCAATTTCTACGGGGTCAAGAGAGTTAATATTCAAGGAATGCTAAAGAATTTAGGACAAGAGTTCGATGGGTAAGTTTGTGAAATCAAGATTATCAAATTTAGTTTAAACTTGAAATTTCAACCGTTTTTTCCACTTTACAAAGGTATTTTAAGACTAAATTGTTGAACTTAATAGAACATCTCATCCAGGACGCCACACAGCGGGATATCAGACAGCAGGAATATAGCGAACATAGTCTGCACCATGGTCAGGGATGGAGCTGTGCTCGATAATAACGAGGTCGTCGACATAAACTCCATTTACACTGCTTGAACAATCAAGTTGAATCGAGAGGAAATGTTTAAGTTCCGTTTTTAAAAGTTATCTAGGTGTTTTGAACTTTGTTTGTACATTGTTTGGCATCCTATATCCAGATATTGGTGGCCCAATTTGCAGTCGTTTACTTGATTTATTGGAATTTTTGTACGGGCTTGTTATGACTAACATCTTGGAGTTGGTCCCTTTGATTTTTGATAAAACGTTTTTAAAGCATGTCGAGTTTTTGTATATTGGTAATTGATTAATGATGTGCTACCCCAGCTAGCCCAGAGAGTCATTTAAAGTTCCATATCGACTGTCGAAATGAAAGCTTGGTCATGATCATAGCTTAATATGTATTTATTCCTCGTATCGTGTTTGAGATGAGATTACTCGTATTTGAGATGTCTAAGATTTATGATAACTTGCTTATTGAGTGATATATTTAAGAGATACTCGTATGATTTAAAGCTAATTAATTAGAATCATGCCATGTGGTAATGAACCCCCCCCCCCCCCCCCCCAACTATTGTTTCTATATTTTCAATGCTGGTACTGCCAATCCAATCAGTAGAAAGTTGCCTTAAGTTCAGTAGTCTTGGCAAGGCTAGGGCCATATTATTCAGTTCCCTCATTATACCAGTTAATACCTGGCTGGTATTAACATATTATCATATACCATCCCTCAAACTTTCGGGGTCCTAATCCGGGAATTTCTATCCGATATCTGGTTATAAAGTTCAGTAAATTGTTTTTTGTTTGACAACAAGATTTAATTGAATGTTTGTACCGTATACACTTCTTTCCCGCTCCAGTAAACTAGAAATTTTAATATTTCATAAGTTTGTGCAACAGAAAAAGTCTAATTTAGCCTCAATTATACTTGATTTAACCTAAACGTGACTGAGCCTAATTTTAGATACGCATTTAAATAATAGTATGGAATTTGCGGCTAAGATTTGTATCGTTTTATCAGTAAAACACGCCCTTTAAATACAGTCTTATGAAAATGATATCTTCGCCAAGTTCAAAGTTACTGTTACTTAGAGTAATTTTCTTAGAGTAAGCTTCTTACCTTCCACCATTACATAAATAGAGTTAATTTTGTTTCGTGAAATTATCCAAGCGTATCATTTTTCAAGAATTGAAATTTCTGGAATCACCCTGGTATTGGTAATAGGAGAAAAGGAGAGAACAAATGAAATAAGAGTATTTATAATTACGTCAAAGTGTTATAGAACTCTATCTCACTGCAAGATATGTGATTTGTGCATTCTGCAATTAATCTAAATTAAAATAAGGACATACAGGGGAAATTATACAATCAGACCGCTGTATAATCGGCTTGTTTCTCTCACGCACTTTCAGTGCTTTCCGAGGTATGATTCACGATACAGTAGGTTTCAAATATACAACTACAAGTCATATACAATGTATATTATACATACAGTAAGGAACATCTGACGAAATAATGAATGAATAGTTTAGTTAAAGTAAAAGTAATATGTGAGAACAATCGAGACCAGCGCCGATAATACCAACTCTAAATGACACAGCTAACTCAATAATAGAGTTATGACAAAGGAAAGTTAATCTTATTAGTCTTACCAATACCATAAACAATTTTTTTCAATTTTCTTATGTACTGTTAGTGTTATGTTACTTTACAAACGCTCGCTTCAGGATTGAAGATTGCTCAGGCGTAAACACTAATGCTTGACGGATGATACACCATAATGCATAAAAATTTCTTAAAAATTTCTGTGAAATCTGCCGATTGAAGATAATGAGCATGCCCCACTCCATAGTTTATACTTATAGTACTAGTAGGTTAAATTACACAATAATACCTTGGCTGTTGTGATAATGTGTGTGATCGTGTTGAGTGCTACAGGCGATAATGCCCGTCGGCTTTAGCGGATGGTGAGTCTGGCACGATAACTACAAACTACAAACTACGCCTTGTTAACCAATACCAATACCATAAACCCCCTTACCAATACCATAAACAATTTTTTTTTCAATTTTCTTATGTACTGTTAGTGTTATGTTACTTTACAAACGCTCGCTTCAGGATTGAAGATTGCTCAGGAGTAAACACTAATGCTTGACGGATGATACACCATAATGCATAAAAATTTTTTAAAAATTTCTGTGAAATCTGCCGATTGAAGATAATGAGCATGCCCCACTCCATAGTTTATACTTATAGTACTAGTAGGTTAAATTACACAATAATACCTTGGCTGTTGTGATAATGTGTGTGATCGTGTTGAGTGCTACAGGCGATAATGCCCGTCGGCTTTGCCTTTAGCGGATGGTGAGTCTGGCACGATAACTACAAACTACAAACTACGCCTTGTAGGTTTATAATCTACCAGTACCAAGACGCGCGCCGATATGGACTCGTCGCGGACGGTTTTGAAATTTGAAACAAATATTGTACGAGTATCACACGTTATTAAACTACGCCAAGGTATCAATATTCGTTATAATTTTTCCAGTTCTGGATGAAACAATGTGTAATGACAATGTGCACAATGTGATACGTGCGCTGATAGTGATAGTGATACAATATTTATATAGTGTGTAACATATACTTATAGTGCGCAACTGTTATTTGTTTTGAAACTTCCCGCCGTCGCGCCAGCCAGTCTGAGGTGACTCGCAATCTGTCCTCATAATACTTTGGTAACCCTTGCGGGAAATTATCGGTTACCACTACCATGAGTGTCCACGACTTTTCGGGGAAATAATTTCCGGAAAATATTATAAACCCACAAACGTTAAATTCCAGCCTCGGTAGATTTTCGGGATGGTGGTTTTATTTTTAAATCACTCGTCAGTTACAGTTACGCCGAACTGACTTAAACACGTTTTAGATGGCCCTGAGGGACTACTTTATCGGACGGTATTTGACCGGATCGACATTATTACGTGAACGGAAATAATTTAATTTTGAATAGACATTAAAATTAACACTCGAAAGCATTTATAATTAATAACCTAATTATAATATCTAGATCTATTCTCCCCGGAATTTATTTGAACGGAGATAAATTAAACCGAAACGATCACCAAGGCCTCCAGCGTCTGCAATTTCGATTAATATCCGTTCAAATAAAGTCCGATTAGGTATTCTTTGTAATACTGAATACTGGGCCGCGCATCTAATATAATTTATACATTATATTTATATAATAATAATGAACTTCTCCGTCTCGCATTTTCGTTAGATAAAGATTTAACGGGTGATACGCGTAAAATATCTGTTCCATTTATTGACGGATGTTACTCGTCTAAATTTCTTCGAAGTAGCGCGCGCCGCTTTCTTCCCGACGGCAAGTGCTACGAAGTAGCGCGCGCCGGGCCAGACCATTAACAATGGTCAATTCCATTTATTGGACCGTCGACGAGTCCAACTCAGCGCGCGTCCTGGTAGGTTGTAAACCTACAAGATAAAGATTGGCGAAATGCACCACTGGGCCACGCCGAGCTGCAAAGGATTGACATCATCAATCAAGGTATTCTGTATTCAAAACACAGAAATGGCAGAAACAGAAACCCTAACCCTCTACTCTGACCCCAATTCTTACACTAACCCCATCTCTAACTCTAAGACAGCATATGATACATATTAAATTTAAAACCCTTAAACCTTGTAGCGCGATGCGTTACTGTGCCGCGCCGAGCTGCCATGAATTGACATCGTCAATTAACCTTAAACCCTAACTAATGACGAGAAAATATACCAACTTCCTTATGATCTGGTTATACTTATGACTATGTCACGTGATCAAAACAGTTTTTCGCCAGGGGAGCATTTTAATACTATGTCTTATTTGACCAAAACCCATAATCATGGGTAGAGTGGACCGCTGCCAGTGTCTCTCTTTCCCAAACAAAAGGAAATGATATTAATTTGATTGACCGTTCTCAAATGCAAAATGATACCGAAAATGAAATCGGTCGCTCGCTTTTCCCATTCATTCACGGCTTACGAATTGTAATAAGTTTCGATTGATTAGGTACATCAATCAGATGCTGTAAAAATCTCTTTGGGTTGCGTTCGGGTCGATACCTAGTATTTCGGGGTAAGGGTGGTATTTATTACTTATTGAATTAGCTGAAGTTTATTGAATCTTTATTGCCGAGTACAGCTGCCTTTGGGTAGTTCTTCTTAATCTATTACAATTGTAAATGAATGGGAAAAGCGAGCGACCGATTTCATTTTCGGTATCATTTTGCATTTGAGAACGGTCAATCAAATTAATATCATTTCCTTTTGTTTGGGAAAGAGAGACACTGGCAGCGGTCCACTCTACCCATGATTATGGGTTTTGGTCAAATATCATCTCTTTTTGATTATAAATATAATGTCAGGGTACTTTATTTATAAAGTCGAAATATAAACTGATATCTTCATTAATAAGGAGGAAGTTTCAACAATTTCGAAATTTTTCCTTTAAAAACATTTCCTTGTGTTTAGGTAAGCATATCGGTCGATCACTGACTGAATATGCCACTTAATACTCATTCAAGTTGGCATTAAATTCATTTAAAATGACATTAAACTGTCGTGGCAAAGCAGAATTTGTTGGAAATCACGAATGAGCAAAATTCTCACCTTTCGCACGTGCAAACTTTGAGCGGACGTTTCGTGCGCATCCAATATTGAATCGCCGTAACTTTCTGCATGTAATTGTTTTATATATAGCTTGATAAGCATGCAAAGTTTCAAAGTATTTCAAGAAGAACTGTAATCACAACGGCACTCTAAAGTTGACAGAAAATGACGAAAACAGCAATTTTCAGTGATTTTAGCAATTTTCTATCAATTTGAGCGTGTCCCCACGTGTGCAACTTTTCGATTTTCAACTTTAAAACTAGCCTAATGCACAATTTATACCTATAGGAAGCAGAACTGAGCTCCACAACCCAAGGCATGGCCCAACACCAGAGAATACTAAATCGCAAAATTGACGTTTTTATAAAATAATTCTTCAAAAAAGCACAAACTTCAATCACGAATATCTTTATGAAGGAGCAAGCTAGAAAAACTTTCCGGTAGATTTTCAGAATGCTTGAACAATTATCTAAGATGAAAATTTCCTCAGATTTTGAATACAATTACTTTTTAATGGTGTAAAATCATTTTTAAAAGTTATTACTTTGTCAAAAATCAAGTTTTAAAAACGGTTAACTTGATGACGTCATCAAGGGGTGTTCATGACGTCAAATAATTTGTTTATACAATGTAAACTAAAGTGTAAACAATTATTTTCAAGACCTGTGGTCGGAAATGGCTGTATCTTTTATACTTTTGAATCTATGGACAATTAAATACAGGCTACAATTGACTGGCAAAGCGTCTATCCCTGAATATATATATATATCACAGTGCTGGCAAGCACGACCGGTGCATTTATTGTGGGTATACTATGTACCCCCTTTACTATTATACCCCCTTTACTATTATACCCCCTTTGGTACACGTTACAAGCCTCTTTCGTGCACGCGAAGCGTGCACTCCGGCCGGAGGAGGCGGCCGAAGGCCGCCGCCTCCGGCAGGAGTTTTTCAGGCATTAAGACTCATCGGAAGTCGTTCAGCAGATTTAATTTTAGTTCAAAACATTCTAATTTGATGTCAAAGATGACAGGAATAAAAAATAGTTATGTTGAGATTTTTAAGAAATTTGCATAAAATACTCGCCAGCACTGTTATACGAAATTCGGTAAAAAACCCAAAATCGCCATATTCAGGAGCCTTAATAACCATGTTAAAATCGAGTTAGAGATCTGAAATTTTTTAGACCGTCTAGACGTTGACCAAATCGACTGCAAAAAAAGTTTCAGGTCTCAGGATCATCGGGAAGTGGGTTTTCTAGAACCCCTGTTTTACGATAGATTGTCGTGATACATACATACCTATATACATATATTCAGGGATAGACGCTTTGCCAGTCAAATGTAGCCTGTTTTTAATTGTCCATAGATTCAAAAGTATAAAAGATACAGCAATTTCCGACCACAGGTCTTGAAAATAATTGTTTACACTTTAGTTTGCATTGTATAAACAAATTATTTGACGTCATGAACACCCCTTGATGACGTCATCAAGTTAACCGTTTTTAAAACTTGATTTTTGACAAAGTAATAACTTTTTAAAATGATTTTACACCATTAAAAAGTAATTGAATTCAAAATCTGAGGAATTTTTTATCTTAGATAATTGTTCAAGCATTCTGAAAATCTACCGGAAAGTTTTTCTAGCTTGCTCCTTCATAAAGATATTCGTGATTGAAGTTTGTGCTTTTTTGAAGAATTATTTTATAAAAACGTCAATTTTGCGATTTAGTATTCTCTGGTGTTGGGCCATGCCTTGGGTTGTGGAGCTCAGTTCTGCTTCCTATAGGTATAAATTGTGCATTAGGCTAGTTTTAAAGTTGAAAATCGAAAAGTTGCACACGTGGGGACACGCTCAAATTGATAGAAAATTGCTAAAATCACTGAAAATTGCTGTTTTCGTCATTTTCTGTCAACTTTAGAGTGCCGTTGTGATTACAGTTCTTCTTGAAATACTTTGAAACTTTGCATGCTTATCAAGCTATATATAAAACAATTACACGCAAAAATTTACGGCGATTCAATATTGGATGCGCACGCAACGTCCGCTCAAAGTTTGCACGTGCGAAAAGTGAGAATTTTGCTCATTTGTGATTTCCAACAAATTCTGCTTTTTAATGTCATTATATATGAATTTAATGCCAACTTGAATGAGTATAAAGTGGCATATTCAGTCAGTGATCGACCGATATGCTTACCTAAACACAAGGAAATGTTTTTAAAGGAAAAATTTCTAAATCGTGGAAACTTCCTCCTTATTAATATTAATGAAGATATCAGTTTATATTTCGACGTTATAAAGTACCCTGACATTATAATCAAAAAGAGATGATATTTTACCAAAACCCATAATCATGGGTAGAGTGGACCGCTGCCAGTGTCTCTCTTTCCCAAACAAAAGGAAATGATATTAATTTGATTGACCGTTCTCAAATGCAAAATGATACCGAGAATGAAATCGGTCCCTCGCTTTTCCCATTCATTTACAATTGTAATAGATTAAGAAGAACTACCCAAAGGCATCTGTGGGGGAAAGCGAGGGACCGATTTCATTCTCGGTATCATTTTGCATTTGAGAACGGTCAATCAAATTAATATCATTTCCTTTTGTTTGGGAAAGAGAGACACTGGCAGCGGTCCACTCTACCCATGATTATGGGTTTTGGTAAAATGTATATATATAGATATCACGACAATCTGTCGTAAAACAGGGGTTCTAGAAAACCCACTTCCCGATGTTCCTGAAACCTCAAACTTTTTTTTCAGTCGATTTGGTCAACGTCTAGACGCCTTGAAAAATTTCAGATCTCTAACTCGATTTTAACATGGTTTTTAAGGCACCTGAATATGGCGATTTTGGGTTTTTTACCGAATTTCGTATAACAGTGCTGGCGAGTATTTTATGCAAATTTCTTAAAAATCTCAACATAACTATTTTTTATTCCTGTCATCTTTGACATCAAATTAGAATGTTTTGAACTAAAAATAAATCTGCTGAACGACTTCCGATGAGTCTTAATGCCTGAAAAACTTCTGCCGGAGGCGGCGGCCTTCGGCCGCCGCCTCCGGCCGGAGTGCACGCTTCGCGTGCACGAAAGAGGCTTGTAACGTGTACCAAAGGGGGTATAATAGTAAAACTAAAGGGGGTATAATAGTAAAGGGGGTACATAGTATACCCACAATAAATGCACCGGTCGTGCTTGCCAGCACTGTGATGTTTTATGGGATCAAATTCGAAATCAGCGTTAAAAAACACCGGTTCAAGTTAGTTTCAATTATTGTGCCGTACTGGCATGGAGCCGACGCCCTTTTTGGAAAATCTCGAATCGAAGTCCGACTGTTGAGCGATTTAGCACGAGATTTTCGATTGCTTTTTCTCAGCTCGATCAATTCAATCACAATCAAGATAATTACAAAGATTTTCAAGCACTTGTGATCTTCAACACATCACTACTAGCTGTACTATAGTACTGATTGTGATGACTTGATATTGACTTGAGTTTTCAGAATCAACATGGGTTATTGATTGGCAGATCATGTCGCATATAAATATACAATCGTCGCTGATTTCTCGACAGTACGCGTCTATGATCTATCCCGTGGCCGTTTTGGTAAACAGAAACAACTACGCATATTTTGGTTTCAATCTAGGATCAAATACTCAGGCGCAAACTAAATATTGAATATGAATTCGATTCCGACCGCGGATATCCGGTTCCGGTTATATTATAAAGCTGACAATAGCCGGATCGGATATCATTATCATGCAGAAATTTCAAAACTTTTCATAAAAATTAATATTATCCGTCGTATAACCAGAGCTCGGAAATTTCAATGCAATTTTAGGTCATTGCCGCCTCCTAAATATGTTTATTAGGGTAAATATTGCTACCATTATAATTATATCTAACTTTCGTCACACGAATCAGTCCTCTCCATTGACTTTGATAGCACCAGTTGTTCAGAACTCAAAATTTACGATACTGTTTTGTGCTTGATTTAAAAGCTTAGGATCATGATATCGGCCTACATAATTTAAACATTACGTATGTACTTGCAGTACAACTAGTACATAACCATAATATTAATGCCAATGGATCTTGAATATCATTACTGGAGCGCGTAAATTGGGGTATGTACTAATACTATATATCAATAATAATATCGATGCCAATATTAATATGATTAATTTCATTAACTTCAAATACTTTCTGCAGAACTTTAAATGGACTGAGTCTGACTCTGAGGTCTTCATAACCAATATCCAAATTACTTAAACTTTCTTGCGACTCTGCATCATCGTTTCAATTACTAATAGTAATACAATTTTCTAAATCGTGAATCGGCTATAATTCCGCCATGGTAACGTATCAAGAAGCAGTTGACCCCATTTTTCTTCTCAACGACCCCATTCCTTTCCTATTCCTATTGTTCTTATTGTCCAAATTAAAGGCATCCAGAAGATGCTTATCTTTTGCAACCAGTCTCTTTAACCTCTGAACGAAATGTTCGCAGCTAGGATGCTGGTTTTGTTCCATAACTTGAATCCACTCCCTGGCCTGGAGAGGTTGTTTCATTTTCATTAGAGTGTCCGCTAGTTTCACAACCAAGTTCACGTAGTCCTCCTCCGTTTCTCCTCCGTTGTCACGATACAATCGGAGGTAGTTGGCTCCCTGTTCCGCGTTCTTCTGGTCGATGTAACACACTGCCAACCGGAAGTAGGTCATCACTTTCTCTCCTCCTGCAGATGCTGGGGTGTTATTTGTTAGAATCTCAATTATCAATATCATGACATCAATTTGGTGCCCGATATGAGTACCGGAGCATTTAATTGAAAGTCTGATAACATCCTCGCAATTCAAGAAGGAGCTTAGCAACCACCATTTTATAATTTCTAATCCTAAAACTAACCAGAACATCTGCGGAGAGCCTCGTGTAGGTAGACAATAGCTAGATCTATCTTATGACAGAGCACCAGAACCTCCGTCAACAACATCAGCTGGGAAACGTCAAACGGGTCCAAAATACAAGCACACCTGAAAGTAAGAGTTGAAGTCAAACTACATTATATTATGTACTATGAATTAACTAAACTGTGCTAATTATAGGATATAATCATCAACTTTACTCCTACTGGAGCGCATCACAACCTTTAAAAGCTTAACTCTCAAGCTACTTTCTGCTACGATCTATTTAAGGTCTGTTCTAGGTCTTCTTCTGACTTCAAATTTGTTACGAAGGAATGAAATTGGAATTTCAGATTGTAATGTGTATCTGAGAAACTTTATTCACGGTGGAATTCTATGGAGCTGTGTCGGCCTTCTTGGATGGTGCCGCATTGGCAAGCCGCTTTAGGCAAACCATTTGCATACAATATCTTTTCCGCAGAATCGAAGTACAACATCTCACTATACTCTTTCATAATACTCAAGTCACAAGTGTACACATGCATGGCTCGAATTTAAGAGCAGGATACTTTAGCTTGGCCACTCCCTCTTTCAAAATGGAATGAGACATCAGAATTAAACAATCTGATACTCATGAACTGGTCACTGTTATAGCTGATTCGCAGAATTTAAAAATTTACAGTCCAAATAATCATAATGGTAGTAACCGTTTGATTATACTCGATGGGACTGGGAGCCTGTCACGATATTGTGCAATTTAAAGCTGTCATAATTTACTGGTTTACAGTCAGCTGAGCTTACAATGTTTCTACAACTTTTAAGAAATAGATTCCACCAAGTTCAAAACTGTTCATACACGGAAAACTACGTAAATCTATCATATTTTTCAATCTTATGAACAATTTAAGACAAATTATAACTTTTGTTCAGTCGAATTCTAGTCTCGAACGTAATTTCACTTAGATTTGATAGCGAAACTAGCGACGAGCCGGAAACTATAAACCGTCCGAACAGGACAGGTGTCAGACAAGGATCAGTCATGGAATGATTTGAGACAAGGGAGACCCACCAACCAGGACTAATAACTGGATTATACACGTGAATGAAGTAACCATGAAACTGGAATCAGTGCGATGTGCATTATTACCTCACGTTCTCGAACATTTCCATGATTTTTGGATCTATAGCTCCGTCCTCCTCGTTTAGATCTGACCCGTAGTCCGTGAAAACCTCGGATTCTTTGGGGGAACCTTTCCTCATTGCGGACATTTTCGATCGACCTAAAATATCGTTGTTATTGTTATGCATTTTCGCTTCTATATTCTATGCTATTTTGCAGAATTAGTTGAGTTCTAAGGTATCACAGAGCATTAATATCGTGGTTTAACTTTAATTGCTTACTGGCGTCATCACTTATTATAAATATTCTCGGTCACTAACTAATGTGGGTTTTGTGCGTGGTTGGTAGTCAACAATAACATTAATTACGATCTAGATCTCTCGAGTTCATGCAATGTTCATTAACAATAACTAACATCAGACAACAACAACACAGCTCCCTTCAAGGAAAAGGCTGTGTCACGTCTGTGTCAGGTCATTTGCTGACAGACAAAGGTAATTTAACGAGTCACCACTATAACCCACAAAAATAGTGCGGTATAATTAATGGATATAATATTTACGGATGTTTGTGCTGCGATAAAGGCTTCTAATATAGTTGTTGACTGGAAGGCATACTATTCAAGTATTCACTAGCTATTCTGGCGGGTGGGTCGTCCAGATAAATGTTTCGCCTTAATTGTAATATAGACCGTTGCACTTTGAAGATACCGAAAGTTAAACCGAAAATTTTAATGCACAGGGTAATTATTTGACCGTTATTTTATCATTTGCTGCATTATATTAACCTCTCATCGAATTAATACAATTTTTTAATACTAAAGGTGTATCACCAAACAAGTTTTTAAACTTGCGGTGCAGACATTTGTTTACAAAGGGTAATTCGTTCCATTATCCCCATTACTTATTTATTATCCCGAATATCGATAATTTCTCAATATCATCGAATAAATAAGTATTATTTTCAATTGTTTAGATGGAGGTGGTGTTAGTGAGTCTGGGAGTAGAACTATTACTTGTAATACGTATACCCCCAGAACTTGTACCACTTAACCATGCTTTTAGTATTTATACAATATGGACTACAACTTTTACCCTACAAATGCCTCATGATAATAATGTCGTATATTTTTAATTCTCTTTGCTGTATTGTATAATGTACTATTTGTAAAAGTTTCAAATCAAATCAAATCATTACCGAAGGTGTACTGACCAAAACAATTTCTAAAACTTAATGGGGAAATTTAGGTATTATCAGTTTGCACTTTGCAGTATCGTTTCATTCATTTACTGTTTTTGTTAGTTTGATCTTCGTCCGAATATTCCCGAAAAAACCCATCTCGAGATTTTGGGTTTTTTTGTATCCTTCAATATATTTATTTTTACTGTCACAACACTCTCACATCGAGTTCAAGACACCAACCTGTCCCACTGAGTGCAGGATCCTCTCACTCATTATTATAAATATTTCGTTCGTATTAATTGATGGTTTAGCACAGTCGGACAAGGTACCAACCTGAGTAGCAACTAGCTTGGTCTATACTCCGTACTGGAAGCAAAAGAGCTGAACTCTGGTGTTTCGACTCGTGTCTCGTCTCTTCTAAGATTATCTGAGCAAGATAAAGGTTCGCTTTGACATTAGATTGTTATATTCTCAAATGTTAATGATTTGTTTGTTTATATATAAGGTATATATAGTGAATATACCTTTCAAGCAATTACAGTAATTATCTGGTTTTTCAAGACATGCATTTATCACAAACAGGCAAATAAAATTCATCATATCTTACAATAAACGAACATTTAATTAATAATTCTGAAGCGAATCGTAACTACTACTGTAATGCCTGGACGTATATAAAGGCACATAGGTATTGAAAACCAATTTTTGGGGCACAAAAACAAAATTTAAGGATCATAACACGTACAACCTAGCTAATAAGATGAGGTCCTTATTAAACTAATACTTAATAAGGTAGGTTACCTGAGGACCGTTAGGAGAGAGCTGAGTATCGTCTCCAGCGGAGGAAACAGCCTGGTTATCTAACAGACTCTGCTCCACCTCCCTCTCGTATATCTTCTTCTGGCACAGGGCCATCAGGTGGTGAGCTGCTGCTGACACGTGTCTCTGTAGGCTCCTGAGCAGGGGTCACGTGTCATGTGGTGGTCACGTGTGTAATTAATGATCATTGAGGACTGCTAAACCACGTGGTCCCTATTCCCCTAATGAGCCAGTAACGCTAGAGAAACTACAAACCTCTTAGCAATATCCATAGCGGCTTGATAAAACTGCAGGTTGTACAGTTCTTTTGCAATAAACAGACGAATTAGCGGACAACTTGACCCCTTATCAAAACTCTGCAGCTTGTCCTCCAGAACTGCTGTCTTTTCTCGGGGTAGAAAAGCTGACTTGGTTTCAATGATCCAGATAAGGTATTCTACAACTGGAATGCTGGGTTTTGACTCTGATACGAAGTTTAGGGAGGAACTGTGGAAGTTGACATCTTTTGGGAAATGATAGGTTATCCTGAGAGGATATTTTGTGTGAAGGTTTTTAGAGCATCTCAAAATTTACATCGTGAAATATAATCTGTACTTAGATGTGCCCAAGAATAATTTAATAACTTAAAATCAGTTACAGCCATCCGAGGGTATATTAAGTTAATTTAAAATGAAATATACCTATTAATAACTAGTTACCCGTCTGCGAGATAAGAGAAGAGACTGTAGTAAAACCGAGATAAGACACACCCAGGGTAGATAGAAAGAGCTGTAGTCAGGTGATACATTGTCGCTTGACGGAGCCCTGGGGAGGGGTTATTCGGTAAATTGGACAAGGATTGTCGCTGTTTTGGTCAATAATTGCATATGGTGGTGTGTTATATCATAAAAAGCTGCTCTTACAAAAAGTGTCTACGAAAAGATGAAGGAAGTCTTGAAGATGTCCATAAATTGAGGCTCATACCCGAGTAGAAGTAGAAGAAAGCTATGTCAAGATGCGCCAGTGCGATGTATTTTCTCTTTACAATGTGATGCTTCTTCAACCAGATATTAATACGATTTTCCAAATCATTTTTCTCTTCTCTCCTCCCCTAAGAAATGAAGAATCTAGTCTAGTTTTACTCTTACAGTCATACATGTCACATCCGGATATAAACAAATTCTTACACGTTTTAATACATTTAAATAAGTTTAAATACCACTTAGTTTAAAACATTTGTCACCTTCCTCCATGTCATTGACATGGCCCGACAATAAATTTTGTCCTTAAAAGTGTCTGATATTCTCACGGTAGCACACAAATGTTAAAACACTGACCGCTTGTTCTGCCTGGTGCGCTAAGTCGGATGTAGCGACTATGTTAAACGGATCCAGTCGGAGCACCGTCCTGTAGTATTCAGTAGATTCTGCTTCCGATCCTTTTAAGTGAGCTATGTAACCTGGGGAAAATCTTTGATAGACCAGGGTGCAAAACAAGCTACGCAAGAACCAATGAATTTCTAACAAACTCTTTCGATAGGATTAAATTCTAATTTCTAATCACCAAGTAAATTCCAAACGGGAGATTGAAACTCAGCAGGGAGGGCGGGTAACAAGAAGTTTACTCTGTGAACTATTGATGTGATCTGCTCGTCAGAGAGCCTCAAGTTTATCCCAAAGTGGGAGGGGTACCCATGTAACCCGGGAAACTTGTCCACTTTGGCGCTGTCAGTGTCCTTCGAAAAGAGTAAATCAAGCGAGCGGCTGCTGTCCACTTTGAACATATTATCAAACCAATGGTAGCTACTAATGGAGTTTGTTGTTATGTTGGTTTGAGAAGAGGGACTCACGGTTCCACTCAAAATGCAATCATCGATAATGGTTCGAGGATTTTAAGCTTTTAAGTAGGGACCGAAATGTATTCCATGCGAATTGCGAGGTTCATCAATTCGAGCCAGTGCCACAAAAGTAGGCCCAAAGTAAATTGGATAAGCAGATTGAAAGTAACTATAATTATATGCATGCTTCATCAAGCAATTCAAAGAGCAACAGCATGATTACGACAACAAAATTACTCCTAATTTATAATTTTAAAGCATAACAAGCTCAATTGTTGCCAGCCTACATTTAATAATATCCACACCTGCACAGTTGCAGATATTGCCAACATATTATAATCGATAGAACAATTACGCAAGATCCGTATCGTAACATCAGCAGAGCATTAATGAGCAACAAACTTATTAAAAAGCAATCGAAAACATTTCAAGCTGCCAAACAGGATTCCAGCCTGGTCACATGGTCGTACTTGCGAACAGTCGGAGAATGCTTCACATGTTAACAGGTGTACGAGCTGAACTGCTGAAGAGTGCGGTAAAGCTTGTTATCGAGAGTTGCGTTCTTATCAGGTGCTCCAATACAAGGAGGATGTCTCCAGAGAGTTCCGCGTGTAGTTGACTAAGGAAATGCGACCACAGTTCGTTTAGCGAGCCGTGTCACTAGCAGCGACAACGTTTTAATTTTAAACACTAAACCGAGAGTGCTTGCTGGATCTTTTCGATTTTCGACGTATATGTCAAGTGGCATTCAATAAACATTTGTTCTGATTGAGCGCTGTATTTCTTTTTAAAAGATCAAAGTTTTATGCACATTTTATATATTTTATACTCAGCATGAGTTAAACTTTGCACTACAAATTTAATAATACAACAGAGAGTAACACAAGATAAAACGACGATTTGAGGTTGGTAAAGTATAAACAAGAGAAGAGAAGCGTGATCATGATGGAACAACTCAGCTAGAAGACAAGATTAGGTCTGACATGAATGATACCCCCGTTACCATGGCTACAAATTAAGCAACACTTCGTTAAAATTATGAGCAGAGCCTTGATCTTAGAATGACAAATGAAAATTCATTTAACTCATGAACATGTACGGATTTTCATTTCATTCATGCGAAAGATAATCCGTTGAAGCAGGGCCAGAGGAATTCAGCAGGGCCGAAGGAATTCAATCTAATTGATAAATTATCAAAAGGAGATTATATGAATTGGAACGGCTGACGTCAAGACGAAACAGGGATCCAATAAAAAGAGACAATTGGCGACAAACAATTTGATCAATTGATATAAAAGTAGAGGACCGTACCATTACTGAGTTGATATCACATTACTGCCAGGGACCAGGGGGAGAGTTAACCAACTTTACTAGAATTAGTGAACAGTTGGACTACCATTTTGGAGACCATGGTGATTGGTGATTGGGGGTGTACCATGTGACTTGGGGGAATTGGTTGAAATTGAATTGTTTTGGGGTGTAAATTTTACAAAAATGTTGAACTGTGCCGTGGTCGAGTGGTCCCGTTGAGGTGCAAAAGAATGCTGGTAAAACACATAAAAGTTCCTTTTCGAGAAAATTCTTATGATAATAGAATTCATTCTGGAACATTCGTACTTTCAAGTTTCAACCAGAATTGTAATTCTTGGTGCGAGGTAGACACTCGATTTCCATTGTTCGTCAAATTTGACTACGGCAAGTATGCACGTATGGGAAATTTGGTAAACTGTCGACAAACAATTAATTTTGCTTTTGGTGTATATTGCTGAAGTAAAAGCTAGCAGAAAGATGATTAAGTAAAAGTAAAGGTTAAATCAATTTCAAAATTTCATTATCATGGTTATTTTATCTTTTTTCATTAAGAAATTGGTTCATTTGATTCAATTTGACATCTTGTGATCTTGTGACCTGTGAGACCTGTGAGAATAATTTCACCTGGTCACTACTCACTATTAGTATTCTAAATTAATCATCTTACCTCTCAAATAATATCTCCAGAAATCGTGATCAACATAATATTCATATTATTGTGGGATATCGCGTCTCCTTGTCTCGTTGTTTCTGGACAGCTCCTTTTGTCCCAGGCACTGGTCGTTTTTGTTTTCCTCCATTACTCTATATCTAGCATGTATCTGGTATCTAGCGTGTATCTGAAAATGGAGAGTCGTTGTATAAAGGCTAGAATAGGATAATACAATTGTTGCATATTCGAGCATATTATCGTTTGTACAATATGTTATAGTATATCTTGTCTATGCATCTTCATTTGATATTTAATTCATGCCTCATGATCCTGTAACAAACTCGGTGAACTTAAATTATACAGACTAGTCGTATACAGGCAAAAAGCACCTAATTAATAATTGATTATGTACTAAAATACTGTTATTTATTACTAATTATTACTAATTAGTTACATTACTTAGGTATACTATTGTCACATGAACAGTGTGGGGGCCAAATTCTAAATATTTTTTTGGCACTTCGCGCCAAAGCCTGAATTTCGCGATTTTTCACGTTTGCTGCGACAAATCGCGATTTTGTCAGATCCTTGCCTCGCGATTTTTTCAGTTCTCCGTGTCAAATTGCGCATTTTCCTTTTAATCTGAGAACGAAATTCGCGCATTTTCATTCAAGTTCAAATCTGTGAGCCAAATATCACGTTTTCTATAATTAGTGTATGAAACCAATCACATCCACAACCTTGCAAATGTCGGTGACGGTACGGACTTCGAAAACCGAAAAAAAAACTTTGAAAAATTTTGACTTAGAAAATTTTCGGTCCGAGTCATTCTCGATACGTACCTAGCTCTGAAAGCAGAGCTCCCGCTTCTGAGCTCGTATTATGAAGGGGAGGCCTGCCTTCCGAGATCGCATTACAAAGGGGAACCCTCGAGTCCAAAATCGTATTTCGAAGGGTAGGTGCGGACTTCGAAAACCGAAAAACATATTTTCGGCTCATAATGATCAGGGTAGCATAAAAAATGAACAATAGTAGTTACCAGAAAAACTTAGAAAAATGTTGACTTACAAATTTTCGGTTAAAAAAACCGAAAAAATATATTTTTCCCAAAAATGTTTAGAAACCTAAATAAAAAAGTTGGCCCTTCTTGGCCCCTTGCCCAGATTTTATGGGGGGGGGGGGGGGGGGGGGGGGGGGGTTTGATGCTAATTGCTAGTCTGAAAACATTTTTGCACTTGGTGGGTAGGAACACCGGAGCATGGCTTTCGACAGAAGTACTTAATGTAGACAATGAAAAAAGACAAACATTATGTATGAACGTGTATAAAAAGAGTAATATCGACGTATCGGCATTTTTGGCCCTTTTCTAAGATTTCATTTTGTCCACCTTAACTAGATCTGTCGAAAGCAGTGATGCTCCTTACCGAATATAGCAATATTACAGCAACTCACGCTCGACCTTTGTTTTCTGAGAAAACAGTTTTCAATGTTGCTCATTTGATTCATTTCATTAATTTTGAACTACGATGTTAACAAATTCAACATAACACTATTTTAGCAAATCCTGTTGCTTTTGTAAACTTTACGTCGGCGGTTGCCTGTAATGATTTACGACCAACATAGATATCAAGCACGCATTTAATGTGATGTATCGATTTTTAAACCAATGTTATTCTAATATCAGCTTTAAATATACTTCTGTTGCATTTTCTAGCTTCTAGTCGCTGCTCATGACCGATGGTTACACATCTATGATCTAGACTCTAGAGCTTGGTCAGAATCACGTTAAGATTTTAGTTAAAAGGTCATATTCTTATCAGAGCCGAGTACAATAGGTCGGACTGGTGGTTAAGGAGGACTGAGGAGGGGTAACAATCGTGTGAATTCTCCTTATATGTTTATGGATATCAGCAGGTAGCAAAACTAATTGTATCATTTGATTTGATTAATACGGCGGAGTAATAATCAGAATTCCTATAGACCACTTATCATGGTGCCGTGATATAACCGAAGGAGCACCAATCTTAGAATCATGGGGGAGTGCGTGACGTCATAAGGTGGAGCACCACTCTGAGGTGGAAGAGTGATCATAATCACGAGTAAGTTGGGTGGAGGTAGAGTTATAGTTCATAATAATCCTCTGCCTCATATTACAGAGTTGTCTGAAGATTATTAGCTAAGTTGTAGTGAACGGTACATCAAATATTGTGAGGCTACCCTCCAGGGGTGCTCGCATGTTCAAGAGCAATTTTAACTCAAACTTTGTGAGAGGTACTAAATACATTTCGCGTTTTTTTTCGATTACAAGCATAATTAACTTGTCCACTATGTGGACCGTCAATTGTGGCAGTCGGTTCTAATAAAACGTGAAAACCCAGAAATAAATACTCAATTGTCTGAGTCCGTAAATGAAGGTGATTGGATAAAATATACTTGGAAGTTAATGTAATATTGAATTTGAACTTATTAACCTAGATAATTTTTGATTACTCAGTTTTATGAAGGAGCTTAGGAGCTATCTTGGTAAAATGTTTGTAGTACTATGAGGAATTGTTCACGGCTTGTTGCGGTGTGGTTTCTTTTAGCTGTTATATTTTATGTTTCTTTTGGAAAACATTTGTGATCGTTGTTGGGTTTCAAGATGTTATAATTTTTTTATTTTATTTTATTTTATTTTTTATTTTATTTTTTTATTTTTATTTTTTTTGTTGTTGTTATATTTCGTAGTATTAATAGATTATTTTAAAATTGTATCTTTGCAGCTATGTAAGTTTTCAGTACGTCCTGTTTATGACAAAGGCATGTAGCCGAAACGTCGACAAAGAATTATGTTTTAACACACTGAGTGGAGACTCTCATTTCGTCAACTACAATTAAAAATAAATAATTAACTATGGTTAAAAGAAGATTATGTGCTTATTTTTATATGGCAAGATATTGTTGGGCCAATTATTCAACTACCACCTGAACTTCTCATAATTGAAACATACAAACTTACAAAGTTATAAGGATGAATAAAATACGTAGTAAATTTATTGTAGGTTTACAACCTACCGAGCTGTGTCTCGTTTCCACTTTGCCAGGTCTAATATCTGAAACAAAATATTTATCAGTATCATCCGTAGATAAGTTGGTGTTGTTTTAAATTTGGATAGATGAGTTTCGGTGCGTTCAACGGTTCAACATGGTGTTGCGAAGGAAAGTCCCGTGTTATTATAATGATGTCATAGTTGTGCAATGCGAATTATTGTGATTTATTATTGATTATTTTTAATCAGTTTATTCACCATTCTATAACATATCAGTAGCAGAACTCGGCGGGATTTTAATTGTAATAAGCGTTGCTTCTATGGGGCAAGTTACCACAAATGGGATTTTCTGACCGATCAATTAGCGATTTTAAGCGACAATCAGACAATCCCATTTGTGGTAACTTTTATGGTACTAAAGACCACCAGCGCCCAGTATTTGGATCGTGGGTGTCACAATTATAGTTAGTTGCGGCTAAAAATTTGAATTCAGCATCTCTGAAGATTTCCGTGGCCAGATTGAGATATTATTTAAAGCACTGCAAACACTGGTAAACACTGGTAAACACTGGTAAACACTGGTAAACACTGGTAAACACTGGTAAACACTGGTAAACACTGGTAAACACTGGTAAACACTGGTAAACACTGGTAAACACTGGTAAACACTGGTAAACACTGGTAAACACTGGTAAACACTGGTAAACACTGGTAATTACTAAACATAAGCATTATTTATTATTAAGGTACGATGTCACTACGCTTGGATAAGTTGTAGCAAAAATATGATTGTCAGAACTCTAGAATTTAGGTAGGCAGGTAAATATCAGGAATTAGTGCTACATTCAGTACTATAAGTATATTTAGTACTAATTTTAGTACTAAGTGTTTGCTACTATAGTATTTAGTGCTTTATACCCAGATTCTAGGTATCAGTCCAAACGTAACTATAAATAGCTGTTCTAAAGATCACAATTTGGTCGATTATAAAACATAACTCCCAAAGTAACGGCTTATTGGACACTGGTAATTGGTTAAAGTACGTTCTCATGGAAAACTTTCATTATTGTGTTAAATAATAAATATAATAAATAAACCATTGAAGATTAATTTCCCTGGACCTGGTTGATAATTTAAACTCGACCATATAATATGGTCGAGTTTAAATTATCAACACAGTCCAGGGAAATAAATTTTAAATGCGTTATATATATATATATTATATATATCATAAAGCGTTTATTGTTTGACTTTGTCCATCACATCTGGAGGGGGTTCCTGAAACCTATAAATGACACGATAGTTTGAAGTAACAGAAGCTTTCGAAAACATGTGTTAATAGTCTTCAGCTTAATATGATTTCCGAACACTACTAACTACAAAAGTACAGTGAAATTTAGCGAACATTTCAGTGGTTTCCGCCCGTTTCACATTTTTTCACTCCTATGGAATTTACACTTCCTGCATACTTCCAGAATTATTTTTAGTCTTGGCTTTTTAGTTCTGCGAAATTCAATAATTATTCTCTGATTTAAGCCCTGGCAGTTTTAATACTTTCAACACTACTATATAACAAATAATTTGAGTTCAGGGATGGCAAGTAACAATGTACCCGAGAGGGTGTCGATACGAAAAAAACGTGGAGTCAAGACGAGTCCCCCTAAGGATTCATCTTCTGATAATGTCCCAGTGCCAGAGGAAAAATACTGCCAATGTGATGTTTACATGTCAGAAGAACTATCAGTTGAATGTGAAGCTTGCCAATTATTTTGGCACCTGAGTTGTGTTGGTTTATCTGGCCTTAAAAACGAGATGTTACTGAATCTTACAAACTGGAAGTGCCCATACTGTTTTGTGGCGCCTCATACCTCAGCTGACACTAAGGAAAACGGGGCTGTCAGGGCTATTATTAAAGAGGAACTCCAACATTTGACCCCAGCCCTGACTAACTCTATTAAGGGGGCCGGGGGGGGGGGGGGGGGGGGGTCTTCATCAAAATTCTCTCGAAATTGACTTTGTAGTTGTTTCTGATGGAGGGGAGTGATATCTATCAGCTGTTTTTGGTCCCATGGAAAAATATTGTTTCTAGCCGAAATTATTGCCGGTCAAAGGTCAGCGCTTATGTGTAATTGTATTGCGCGAGCGATTTTCAATCGCGCGCCCTGAAAATCGAGTCTATAAATCTATCTTCTCCTACATTTTTTGAGCAATCACCCTGAAACTTTCAGGATATGTTCTAAGGACCATTTAGAAGAGATTGTCGGGCCAGAATTTTGAGATAGGCCTTAGAAATTTTTTTATTCAATTTTGAAAATCTTGGACCTGAAAAAATCGTCAAAATACGAGGTCCAAGATTTTCAAAATCGAATAAAAAATTTTCTAAAGCCTATCTCAAAATTCTGGCCCGACAATCTCTTCTAAATGGTCCTTAGAACATATCCTGAAAGTTTCAGGGTGATTGCTCAAAAAATGTAGGAGAAGATAGATTTTTAGACTCGATTTTCAGGGCGCGCGATTGAAAATTGCTCGCGCAATACAATTACACATAAGCGCTGACCTTTGACCGGCAATAATTTCGGCTAGAAACAATATTTTTCCATGGGACCAAAAACAGCTGATAGATATCACTCCCCTCCATCAGAAACAACTACAAAGTCAATTTCGAGAGAATTTTGATGAAGACCCCCCCGGCCCCCTTAAGGAAGCTATTAAAGGAAGTGCAGAGAAAACAGTTGATAAAGCTGTTCGTCTCTATTCTGAGGTAACAGCACAAACCCAGAAGAAGGTTCTCGATGACATGAGTCGTGAACAAGCTTCTGAAACTGTTATTTCGGAAGTGCAAATGAAGATGCACACTGATACATTTGAGCGAAACAAACGAAAACTCAATCTGTGTGTGCTCAAGGTTCCAGAGAGCAAAAAGACTACCTCTAAGCAACGCCAGGAGGACGACTCCAAGTTCTGCAGGGAGACCCTAAAGATTAAGAAGGACGACATGATAAGTTGCCATCGCTCTGGCAAGCTTGATGCTGACAAGCCAGATCACCGTCGCCCGCTCATCATCCAGACACGAGATGAAGAGTCAGTAAATTTCTACGCTGACCATGGTAAGGGCTGGAAAGAGTCAACTTATTGGATCAACTTGGACCTCTGCAAGGCAGACAGAGATATTCGTTTTTTAGCCAGAAAGGAGAGGAAGAAGAGGCAGGAGGAAGCGAAGAAAAGAGAGACAGAGAAGACGAAGGAGGAAGCAAAGAAAAGAGAGCCAGAGAAGACAGAGGACAAAGCGGAGGCCGCAGTGCCCAGCCGTTAAATATTTTTTATACCAATGCTAACGGCCTATTTAATAAAATTGATGAACTAAAATGTATTTTATCAATGTATAAATCTATTGAGGTAATTTGTGTAACAGAAACTCATTTTAGTAGTGATATATTAGATGCCGAAATTTATATTGAAGGATTTAGTATGTTTAGAAAAGATAGAGATTTTAGAATTGACAATTCCACTGGCAGTATAAGTGGTGGAGGAGGCTCTATAATTTACGTTAAAAACTGTTGTAATGCTTCACTAGTGAACTCTTTTTTAAAGGCACCGGATTCTTTAGCTGTTAATATCAACACATCAGGTGGACTGATTAGTATTTGTTGTATTTACAGATCCACTTCATTGAATTTAGAACAGAATAATGCGTTAATATCTTGTATCAAGAGCATCTGTAGTGAAAGGAATGATTTTGAAACACTCCTTTTAGGAGATTTTAATTTACCAAATGTTTTATGGGAAACTGGTAGCATAAATAGTAATATTGCTAGCAAGAACCAGTTTTTAGTTACTCAACAGAAATTCATGGATGTTTTCAATGACAGTGGTTTAACTTGGTATTTCACCAACGAGACAACTAGAAGACGGCTTGTGAAGGATACTCTCCAGGAGAGTCTTCTTGATCAGGTCCTGTATACAAATGATGCTCTTGTCAACGGTTGTAAGATCGTTTCTCCGCTTGGTAAGAGTGATCATGTTGGGATACTTGTCGAACTAGTTGTTTCGCCGGATACTAGCAAATGTTTAAAAGAGAAGATTATCAAACCTATATGGGGTAAGATTTCCTCTGAAGAGTTATTAAATTTTAGTTTGAAAAATATCGACTGGGATTATAGTTCTACCAATGATGTTCAAGATATGTGGGCTGAATTACATGGTAAACTGGAGACTGTTGCTGCAGCTGTTCCGACTGCTTCGGTTTATCTCGACAACAGACCTGTCAAGTTGCCATGGAGTACATCTGCACTTAAACGAATGAGAAAGAATAAAGATAAAGCATGGGCTGAGTTTGATATTAATCCATCTGATGTTAATTTTAGTTATGCAAGTAGCAAACAACATACTTATGAATTAGCAGAAATTAAAGCTAAAGTTAATTATGAAAAGAAAATTACATCTAATCTGAAGCAGAATTGTAAGTCTTTTTACTCTTATTTACGAAATAAACGTCAAGTTAAGTCTAGTGTGGTTTCTTTAGATAGAGGAGATGGTACACGCACAGATAGTTCGACTGAGTCAGCTGAGGTACTCGCAAGTGCCTTTAGCTCTGTTTTTGTGCGTGAACCACCTGGCCCTCTCCCTAAAACTGAGAATTTAAGACCTGACAATGAGAGTATTGATGATATTGATGATATGGAAGTCAACAGTTCTGATATAAAAAAGCAACTTTTAAAGCTTAACATTTTTAAGAGTTCTGGTCCGGATGGTGTTCATCCGAAGTTGTTGAAATCGCTAGCTTATGACAACAATTTTGTTGAAGCAATAACTAAATTATTTCAAAAGTGTTCAGATACAGGATCTTTACCTGCAGTGTGGAAATCTGCATCTGTTGTAGCATTGTTTAAAAAGGGTATGAAATCGGACCCCTTAAATTATAGACCAGTTTCATTAACTTGTATTTTGTGCAAAGTGTATGAAAAGTTGGTGAGAGCACATGTTTTAAATTTTCTAGAACATCGAATTTCGAAGCATCAGCATGGATTTGTTAAGGGTAAATCGTGTTTATCTAATCTTTTAGAGACATTTGATGACATTCTTGACATTTTAGATGAAGGTGCCCCGGTTGATCTTCTATACTTTGATTTTAGTAAGGCGTTCGACACAGTCCCCCACTTTAGACTTCTGTCTAAATTGGAAGGCTTTGGTGTCAAAGGAAAGGTTTTAGATGTTATTAAAGATTTTCTGACAGACAGGACTATGAGGGTTTCTGTAGAAGGACAATGGTCCGAGGTTAAACATGTTTTATCTGGTGTTCCTCAGGGGTCAGTTCTAGGCCCTCTCCTATTCATTCTGTATATTAATGATTTGCCTGACATTGTAAAAAATAAGATAAAGTTATTTGCTGATGATCTTAAATTAATTGGTAATGCAGCTAACCACGGTAGTGTTGCTGAAGATATCGAAGAATTAGAAGTTTGGGAAAGTATTTGGCTTTTACAATTTAATCCTGCCAAGTGCAAAGTAGTGCACATTAATTTTAACAACAATCCTAATTTAAATTATAAGGTAAATGGTATAGAACTTGAAGTATCTGATCAGGAAAAAGATTTGGGGGTTATTACCCATAGCTCCCTGCTTTGGAACGAACAGATCAAAGCATGTATCGCTAAGGCAAATCGTATGATTTGTTGGATTGTAAGGAATTTAGTTATTAGAGAAAAGGTTGTTATGATTGCTATATATAAAGCTTTAATAAGACCTCATCTTGAGTATTGTGTCCAATTGTGGAATCCACCTGCGGCTCATGGAAGTTGGGGGACTGTTTTGGAGCTGGAGAGCGTCCAGAGGCGGTTTACCCGTCTGATTGATGAGGTGGGTACTCTTCCTTACAGCCGTAGACTGGAAATCCTCAATTTGACAACGCTGGCAGAGCGGCGAATACGTGGGGACCTTATTGAAGCTTTTAAGGTTATTAATGCTATGACTGATTATGGTTCAGACTTGTTCAGACCAAGCAGATCAGGTCTTAATCTGGTTTCATCCAATAGATGTAGTAAAAGTGTGACAAAGGTCAAGAATATCCAGAAGTCTTTTCTCCCGGAGCGAGTTATTCCATATTGGAACAAACTCCCTCCGGACGTCAAGAACTCTGTGACAGTTTTAGGTTTTAAAATTAAATTAGAAGGATATAAGATAGATATGATTTCTAAAAGTATTACAAATGATTGCTTTTTTTGGAATGTTTCTAATGAAGTTTTAGTAAGAATTGAGGGAGCCAGTTATGTCAGTAATAAAGAGAAACATAACAATTATCTTTGGTTCCATCCTTATGTGGCAAAGAAGCGTTTTATAAATCTTTATTCCACTGGGAAGTTTTTAAAATAGGATAATGTTTTTGATGAAATTGTTTTTAAATATTGTATTTGATAATTAATTAATGTTAGTGGGGAAATATTTATTATATATTTTTTCACACAGTGCGATGATAGTTTGTAGACATGTGTGATGATGTGATGTCATAAATTTTACTTTACTTTACTTTACTAGTGTCAATAAGGGTACCTTAAGATATATCCTCGAATTAGTCTGATTAAATTAAGGTATAGTTTGTCCCATTTAACGAGCTAAAATAACGATTCTACACTTCTTTTGTTCGAAATTACTAATTTTCTTTGTTTTCCGAGTAAGGCCGAGACTATGTGACTGGGTAAAAAGGTCACATTACAGGGTAAAACGTGACAATCATACTCAATTTTTTGTTCATAACTGCTTCAGATTTTATAGCAGTCCCAAATACCGATATCTGGTATATTCTTATATTGCTGCATTCCAGATTCCTCATCGCAGCCAGAGCCAATTCTGGAAGCACTATAATAAGGCTACATGACATTGACTCGTAAACGATACTTTCATAGGAATACATCATTTTTGACGTATTCGTGTGTACCAACAATTTTAGGTTAAGCTGAATATGTCGTATTCGGGATTTGTGAAAACCTGAAAAATTTCAAATTTGACGAATAGAGTATTTAAATTCTGATTACGTCATCATGAAAGGAATTAGGTCAATTAATTGGAAAACTTTATAAATCGGTTGAATTATATTTATTGAATGGTGCTCACGTTTCCAGAGCAGTATGTTTACTAAGAACTATCCTAATTCTAAACTATTCACATATTAACTACTAGGTTTGAATATTATATTACGTGAATATTTCTTTTTGTGAATTGTTCATTATAGAACCGCCGGCACCTTCCAGAATCCGGATCAACAACAACATTCCACCCGATAATTAGCGATACTATGAATGTTGAAAATTTAGACTGTCATATACTAATTATGCAATAGTATTAGTAACTTATGTTTTATCTGAGGATCTAAGGCTTACGTGTCCATAAACACGATCGAAGATAATATGGCGAAGTGACAGGCTGAGCGCCGCCCAGTAAATTATATTTAAGCTTAAAAGAATAAACTATAATAAATTATTCCATATACTTGGTTATTTACGGTTGATGAACAGTTGGAATTCGTTCTTTCGCAATAGCTTTCTAATCGCATAGTCGTTGCCTAACCGTGAGCGGACTATTTTAAGCAGAGTTCAAATTAAATGAATGGATTCTTTAGCAATTCTCTTTAAGACATCAACCATCTTTTGTCCACTAATCACAATCTTTAGAGTGCCCAACTTTCACAAACGTTCTGAAATATTCAGAAACGAGCCAATCACTCAAATTGAAGCTTTCTACCCCTCGACTGCAAGTCAAAGCTTTTGTTTATAATATCATAACAATACTTATACAGTTAATTCAAATGTGTTTGACTAAGGATTTGGTAAATTTCGTTTTATACTCTGAAGAAAGATCAGTTTAATGAACTCCTAATTTCCATGATGTCGATTGGGCGGGTCAGGTTTTAGTATGTAGTATCTACTCGTACTATTAATATTCAATTTAAATTTCTTACTAGAAGATATTACTTATTAAAGCCTAATGGGGACTAATCAGGAACTCTTAACCTAAGATTTTAATTCATCTTTATAAGCAAGTTAGAGAAGGTTTGTGCCTGGTATAACTCAAAACCTGACTGTCCAAAATATAAAATGTCAGATTACACTTATCAATTAAAGTAATCCACAACTTTCCAGCTATGCAATTGTATATCATAGACATTTGATAAAGTAAAGTCAAAATAATTAAAATTTTGTTAAATTTAATTCAAGTAAAGTCAATATATTCAAGAATATGAAATGTCTTACTTTTTGTAATCTCACTTTTTGTAATCCTACTTTTTATAACTAAAATTTGATCATATTCTTTGAGCATCTCAGGTAAACTTTAAGTTTTTACAGGACGATAAACTCTAGACCATAGACACCAACTAACTATAACTACTTTTGTTTTTCGTACTGTTGATTTGACATGCACCAACCATTCTCAATTTTAAAGTAATATTGATATATGTATTACAGTTATATCCGCGATAAAAAAACATAATACGACGATTCAATTTCAATAATATAATATAACACGACGAATTAAATGAAATTAAATTTGATCCGCAGCTTCTAGCTTCTACTTTGCAGAATTTAATCGCAGATTGCGCACTCTTCCATAATCACAAGTTCTCCCCTGGATATGTGACACTATGCAGCAGCCTTACTTATAGTATCCTACTTAACAAGATGATATTTAACAGTTTAACTGAATGATAAGTATTTTTGGAAAAGAATTGTTGTGTTGGTGGCGTATTATATACTTTAAAACAATACCCATTCAGCTGTGCATAGTCGTGTTACAGGTTACAAATGACTCTAGTACACACTCCTTTCATACTAGTCTTCAGTTAAAAAAGAAGCTCGTAACTAATGAGCTGTATGTGACTCCAGGGAGCCGTGGTGAATACAGTCCTTATATGGGTATACGAGGAAAGTCTAACATTTAGCACGTGCACCAGCAGGACAATGAGATTTTGACCAGCACAATTATACTCACATTGAACGATATTGATCTACACTTGACAATACAAATACCAAGAATTGTGATATGCAGTCAGTTCCGTCGTAAAATAATAGTAAGCCATGCATATGCATGTTGGAATTTACCCGAATTTCTCAATAATGGATGTTGCCTGCTTTTGTATCGGTGGGGTTGTGGACCGGATGTGACCAGGATATGCCACGTTGGATTGTTGACTACATAGTTTGTTCCATAGCCCTTCATTTTTACTTTCCGTTGATTATTTGATTTTTCGATCATAACACAAGAGTAACTCTATTAAACAGATACACAAGTGAGATGATATTTAAATTTCTGAAGTGTTATCCTATAACTTCTGTAGCTGATAATATCTGTTTTCATCCTGTTGACAAATCTCACATGGTTGGTCTAAGACTAGAAACTAGTGATTATCATTCATTGCAAAAGCGGAGAGTGATAAAAGCTGTGCTTACCCGCCTATGTTTATTCCATTATTTACACGAATTGTGCAACATTTGGAAGAATTTTTTCAACCACGTACCGGCATACAGGTACAAGTCACATGACTGACTCGAGGCTCATTATGTAGTAGTAGAGTAAATTCCAATGTTATTATGTGATCCTAATTAAATTATCGCCAGGAAAAAGGCAGTTTAGAAGATAATGAGCATCACAATACCTTAATTCCTACACAATGCACATGTTGCTACCTTAAAGTTAAGAACGACAAATTTAGTCTACCATAAATTCAGTCAAACTTTTTACAAAAATTGTTGTAAACCAAATTTCATGTGACTAAATTTTTCGGCGACTAATTTTGAAGTACGACCAAAATTTTAGTAGAGCATTATTATTATTATAAAACAGGATCTTACCGACAAAAATGATTCTTAAAAATACCTTAATGCGGTAAACTGTACCCTTGAAAAAGATTTTCCCAACATCTGTTGCATGCAGCTATATCTCTAATTTCGTTCAATTCATGCAAGTTGTCCATTTGCAAATTTCTACTACTTAAATCACTTCTTAAAACCGATAACAAGTTCATTCTAGGTCTCCCCAATCTACCAATGAATAAATTATCTGATTCAATTGCAAAAGAGAGAGCCGTTTGGGCTGGGGTGTTCTCCATACTCCTGAGAATGTGTCCAAACATCTTCCACCGCTGGTGTTCAATACGCTTGGATAACTTTTCAACTTTGCACCGTTCATACAATGCTTTGTTGCTTATCATACCTTTAGGCCATTTGATGTTTAAAATGGACCTGAGGTGTCTACGATGGAGTGTGTCCATTTTCTCCATGGTTGCTTTCTTAGGACTCCAACTATTTGAGTTGTAAATCAATACAGATACAACTTGAGCATCATATAACCTCAGCTTTCTTTCAAGGGAAATTTTCTTACCGGACAACCATACTTTTCCAAAGTCCTTAAAAGCAATCTCAGCTAGGATTCTCCTTCTTTGAATGTCCTTCTCAGTGCAGAGTAAGGAACCTAGTGACTTGTTACTTCGCCATGGTTCGTTATTAGCTAATGGCTGACCGTTTGTGTCTTTATCAGATTTTTTCGCCAGGTAGAAGGTACTGAATTCAGTTTTACTTTCATTTACTTGGAGGTTCCAGCCTTTGAGAATCTCCTTCACTGTAGGAAGGAAAATTTTCAGTTTCTCGATGTCCTCGTCAGCAAAGTCACAATCGTCTGAATATTCCCACTCAGTTGGAAAACCTAGTTCTGATACTGGTGGGTTTGGTCTCCCGGATACAGCTCTGAGGTGGTGTAGGGCTGCTGCAAGAATAAGTGTGAATAGCTTTCCAGATAAACTGTCACCTTGAAAGGCTCCGAGTAAACTTTCAAACTCTTCCGATAGTGAGGAGTTAACACGAACTCTAAGGAGAGTATTCGATAGAAGGTATTGAACTAAGCGAATGTCGTCCTCCGAACAACAAGCATTTTGCTAAATGTCCATTTCTTCCTCATCACAACAGATATGAGCATTCTCTGAGCCCACACAATGTCAGAGCAGCTCCTACCTCTCTTGTAAGCACTCTACCATGGCATGGTGTAGTTGTCAATTCTACTCTCAACCCGTTTTAAGGCAATTTGAGTGAGCATCTTCCTCGATCCGTTTAACAGTGTAAGTGGTCTAAGGCTTGTGAGGGGACCTTAAGGTTTACCGGGCTTCTGTAGAGGAGTCACAATACCTTGTCCTATTGAACTTATGTATTTGTTCCCACTAAATGACTCATTAATTGCCTCAGCATACTTCTCAAAAGTGATTGGATGGGCGTACTTTATCAACTCATTCTGGAGATTATCTGGACCACTGGCACGGTTTGATTTGAGTTTACTTGCAGCAAGTTTAACTTCAACTGGTGTAATGGGGTTATCAAGTGGTTTTGGATCGCAGGTAAAAGGTTGCAGGCCAGCTTCAACTCCTTCTGTTAGTTGTTTTTCGAAGAAAGATTTCGCTGTGTTTGCTTTCCCTAAATCAGTACCAATAGTTGTTGTTGATATCATTGACCACTATGTTACCCGACTTTTTTATTCCAGCTAAAGATCTTGAAGCTTCAAACATCTTTCTAGCGTCGTCAGTGTTATTTATTTCTTCTGCTAGAGCGTCAGCCTTCATGTTATTTATTTGCACAAGTCTCTTAGAAATGCTATTCTGAATCATTCTAACTTCTCTCCTATCTCCACTAACATCACTACCACTTGGGGCTGATTTGATCTTTAGAGTCTGATCACGCTTTTTAGCAACTAATAAAGCTACTGTTAGATCACTGGAGAAATTTTGTTTAGAGGATTTCCCTTTCAGTGGTATAGTTTCTTCAGCACACGCACGTATGTCACTAAATAGTTCATTCATTTTCTCATTTGGGTCATCTGGATAAGTTTTACCCGATAACCTTTCAGCAATCGCACTTTGATATTTCTGTCTGAGTTCTTTATCCCTGTAGAGAGTTGAACAGTCAAACTGAGTGCTATCTGATTTTTTGGTTTTGTGAATGAGAACATGATTTTTCAGCATTAATCGAGTTACAACAGGTTTGTGATCAGATCGTAACTCAGCGCCTCCGTATGATCTGCTGTCCTTTATTAAAACCGTAGACCTCCTCCTGCAAAGCACATAGTCAAGTTGAGCGTATATAGGAGTATTTCTCTTAGTCCTGTGTTCACCAGTCCAAGTTAGTTTGTGCCTACTTGGATGATCAAACAAAGTATTGCATGCTGTTAGGTCTTCTTTAACCATAAATTCAAGCAAATGCTCCCCATTTTCATTTCTAGTCCCAATACCATGTCTACCTATCAAACCTTCCAGACCTAATTGTTCATCAACCCTAGTTCGTTTACCCAGCTTTGAGTTAAAATCTCCGCAGTGGAACATTTCCCATTTTGATGGAGTAGATGATACATTGTGTAAATCTCTATAGAACTGAGACAGTTTGTCAGGGTGTTGTTGAGCACGAAGAGATGTGAGACCATAACTGTTGATGATTCTGAAATTCTTATTACTACCACCCTTGAGAGGAAAACAAAAATCAATATACCCAACTCTATCAGAGATCTGTTTGAAAGTTGTGATGAAAGGTTGCAGTTTAGGGCTAATAACAAATCCAATACCCCCATGAAATTGTTCTTTCTGATCAAAAATTAACAGTCTGTAGTTGTTGTGAAGAATGATATCCACCTGATTAGTGCACTTAGTTTCTTGTAGTCCCACAATGTCCATACTGTACCTTTTGCAGTCATTACCCAGTAACTCCCTCTTCAAAAGTCGTTCAGACCGAGTGTCTGGACTACCCAAGCCCCTAACATTCCAAGAACAAACAGCGAAAACAAATAGCACAGCACACAGTGTTGATCCCATCTTGATTTTGGGCGTAGACTCTCCAGCCATAGCTGTATGTGGGTCGTCACTCCTACATTCTACCTAGTAGAGCATATATGAATTAAATTTTATTGAGCTTACATTCTTTATCATATGTTTATGATAAACAGTTAAATATTGCTAACTGTACACAGGTCCCTACTGCGTGTAATTTTAGGGTGTTTAATTTTTGTAAATTTTATGCTATGATATGTAACTAATGTATGTAATGTTGGCTCGCCGTTGGAATGTTCCCAGATCGAGAATATTCCTCCTTACCTAAATACGCGCGTATGGTGTAAGTTACAGGATCACGAGGTTGATAATTTTTCCACGTGACCGTTTGGCGCGCGGTTTGCACGTGGGCCCATGGGAAATTTCTGATACTGCATGTGTTCCGTTGTCTGTACTTAGTTCACTCCCCGTCTTTTTATTTGTTACTTCATACGTTTCTATACAGATTTGTACCTTGAGTTGTGCAGAGTCGTTACAATTTCCGATTTCATCATGAACTTCGACATACATTCTGCGAAATTGAAAAAAAACTAGCCTAATAATGGAAAAATCAAATAAATGGAATGGAAAATGGTCTCAAAAAGTCAAAAAATGCGACTAAAATTGTTGTAGACTAAAAATTTGCGAAATTTGTGCCCAAAATTTTGAACCAAATTGATTGGCCTTAAGGTATATATAAAGCGAGAATATATATCTATCTTATTATATATAAAGCGAGACGATATATATATATATATCTGTGCCATTTTACTGACACCACGGCATCAACTTTAACGCGACTTTCCGCAAAAACCGTAAAAGATATACAACTGGAACTTTTTTGGCTGGGTCAAATGCTTTAATGGCCTTCAAATCAGCATGAAAAAATAAAAAATTGGCCAAGGAATAATGATTTTAGAGCCGAAAATTTGGACCCCCAAGTGGTGTCAAAAACGCCAATTAAATAGGTAATAATTATTTTAGTATTTTGAGTCTTGACACCGTTTAGGGTTATATTATACGGGTTCCTGCTAGTTATATATAAAGCGAGACTATATATATCTGTGCCATTTTACTGACACCACGGCATAAACTTTAACGCGACTTTCCGCAAAAGCCAAAAACAGTAAAAGATATACAACTGAAACTTTTATGGCTGGGTCTAATGCTTTAATGGCCTCCAAATCAGCATGAAAAAATAAAATATAGGCCAAGGAATAATGATTTTAGATCCGAAAATTTGGACCCCCAAGAGGTGTCAAAAACGCCAATTAAATAGGTAATAATTATTTTAGTATCTTGAGTCTTGACACCGTTTAGGGTTATATTATACGGGTTCCTGCTAGTATATATAATATATATATATATACAAATTGAAACGACCGGTTGAGTCAGACAAATGTTTCAATCATGATACAAAACCATGGGCTAAACCATTTAGCTAAAATAAAAACTACAAAGCTAAAAGTTTGTTTCACGAGTGAATATTTATGTAAACGTTTAGCTTTGTAATTTTAATTTTAGTTCCTACCTCAGTAACAGTTGTCACTTATGATATCATGGTTTTGTACATGATTGAAACATTTGTCTGACTCAACCGCCCAACGTCAGTCGTTTCAATTTGTATCTAGCTCTCGGCTTGCCGATTGAGCACTGTCAGCAGACGACGCCACCCACAATTATATATATATATATAATTGTGGGTGGCGTCGTCTGCCACCCACATATATATGTTGCACATATATATGTTGCCATTTTACTGACACCGCGTCATCAACTTTCCGCGAAAACCGTGAGAGATATACCAATACCATTGAAACCTTTTTTACTAGGTCAGATGCTTTTATTGCTTTTTGACCAGTATGAAGAAATTAAAAATTGGCCAAGGAATAAAAACCTTAGGTCCCAAAATGTGGACCCCAAGTGGTATCAAAATCACTAAATAAATAAATAAATATTGCTGTTTCTTGACACCACTTTAGGGTTAGACGGGTTCCTGCTAGTTATGCCTAACCGGCGTGCTTGCATCTTATCTTTTAAAACTTATTTTACTTTATGATAGATTTTGAGACAACACGTGCTTTGCACGCTTTTTAAGAAATACTTTAGATCTAATCCAGAGTCCAGACACAATACCTTGTAATATTATGTTCATTTGGAATAACCTGCCCTACTTTATTGATGGAGGATTTTCAAGCGTTACATTGAATCTAATTCCGATTTAATATGTTCAATGTTCATTTAGGTTAATGTGTCGTACTTTATTGTTTGACGCTTTTCAAAAGATACAATAGATCTAACCCAGATATAATTTGTTCATCCTACCCAGATATAATATGGTTACTTAGAAATAGAATTCTTTGCTTTATTTTATTGATGATCTGTCTATTCAAACCGTCAGATAGATGTGTACGGATAGTTCTCATACTTGAGATAATTTAGTGCATTTTCCAGCTCTGTCCGCATTGTAAGCGCTCTATTCTAGACCTAAGTTATAAACTCTAAACTCTAAATAGTTATCATGGAAACATCTGCTGTGAATCTATCTAGTTTCTGTGATAAGGGGGTCTTACTACCAAGTTAAACCTCTAAAGGAGACATTAAAAACCATGAACTTGCAGTTTTATTGCACTTGGTAATTTCTCGTCGTCTGCTGGAGTACAACATACCACCTGTTTGATGTAGTGGAAAGTATGGCGGACAGTAACCATGGTCCAGAGGAGACATGTGTATTGTCGGAGGGAGTTACCAATCTAATGACTAAAAAGACACTTACCTACAGTTCGAACAGCTCAATTTTCATTTCCGTCCAACTTTACCAGCTGTTTGAATCTCTTGGTAAACTGATTCTTTGACCAATTCTTCATGAGGATCCTTTTAGAATCTCAACTTTTAATGTTTTTAGGATTGAATTCTTGGTGGTTTTCTACTCTGTTTCTTCCAATTCAACAAACTATCGACTAACGAACCATGGGCATATCATAAAGCAGGTACCTAACCGTTTATGCAAGTCATCAATCATCATGTGACAATATAGTAATGACTAGAGACTCCTTTGATCGAGTTATCAGACCAATAAAGCACAGGTAATTAGCTTGACTGACATTGTCAATCGTTTGCAGCTCATAGTTCTTCTCATGATCTCACAATGGAGTTTGAATTCCTGCGCAGCTAAGGCGGTGTCTTACATGGAGATCTAGCATGCATCCTAATTCCCATGAAATATTAGTCGAAACGGGTGACCGAAAACTGAACCCAATTTCTAAATTGGGTTCAGTTGTCCGGTAGCCGTCGAAACCCAGATCGGATTATTCACCATGGTGACCAGATGAACATTGCTCATAATATCTTTGACCTTATAAAGTTCGAGCAAACACCTCCCACCATGACATGAAGATCATACTGACATCTATGACTATAGCCTGGCGAAGAAAATCATCGCGGTCATGAGCAACGCCCAAGTGCTTCCGAGTAAATGAACAAATTGACAGGATATTATCATATAATTAACTGTATAATTAATTAATTATAACCTATTCTCCTGATAATGTTCGGATAAAGCAGAGGGGATGTTGAGCGTGTTGCAGTCTAGACTCCAGTACTAGACTAACATACAATGAGAAATACAGGGAAGTGGTTCATTATTCACCGACAAAGTTGATCGCCCATAAGTTTGGAGCCAGTATGGTCATGCTAGTATAACACATAATACAGACCTGTCAGGCGAGTAATTAAGATCATAGCTTGATCTGTCAGATGCAAGGCAGGGCTTGGTGGCAAGTGGCTGAGGCATTTATGATTGTGCGACTTGAAAGTTGTGCTTTCTTATCTTCATCGCGATAGTCACGCCTTGCATAATGTGTGCAGTGATATGGTCGAATGATGGTCATTTAATGGCTATTAGTATTATGCTGTAATCCGCTATCACCGAAAGCTTTACTAGAGTGCAGTGTAATTAACCAAAGTATTGTATTAAATTTAATTAGGGCATTTGTGCTTGCTTGATGGAATGGTCGGTGTTCATGAATGTTTCATTGACACAGCCAGTGATCTGCTGTGCTAATTTCGTCCCACCTTGTAATTTGTAAACTTGTGATAAGATACGTCGAAAATTCACTTCAGCTTGCTTTCTAGTAACGCGTAATCCCTCTATTTCACCCTGAAGATGAAAATACAAAATTTATTTTCGGAGTGATCACAGAGTTTATTGTAATTAACCAAATGCCATGAACTGCTATGATACTTGTATTTTTACTTAGCATCGCATCGCGTGATTTAAGATTTTCAATAATCGATACGCTCAATGCCCCCATTACGTGTAGAAATACTCACTCTAAAGTCTAAACACTTGAAAATTAAACAAGCACTGAGCCAATCTGCATCATAATCACCATCTGATCTAAACCAGAATCGGGATTTTTGGAGCTGCTACGGCATATATAAAATATAAATCATGATTTTGACCCAATTATCCAGGAATTATCAACGCAAATTTATAATTATCAACCTATCCATTACACCGTGTTACTAATCACAAATAAAAGTTGATTGACTGAGAAAGTGTTCAAATGGGTATAATCCAGGGCAATGATACTTGATAATGCTCTAACTCTAGGGTGTACTGACATGGATGAGGAATAAAAATTTAGTTGACATTTATTGCACGTCAATTAATTTTTGTGTCCGTGACTGATTATATGGGAGTTGTTAGTCGTTTAGAAATTTGCAACCAGGAAATTGTTGGTAGGTGCTTTTTCTGAACCTCATGATCGTGTTGATCCATGCTCCTTGTTATAGCTTAGTCGAGCACTTTGCAGAAAACCAATCATCAATTGGTGATCCTCTTAACTATTATTTCTTCGGAGACCATTTTGTCTTTGATTTGTACACCGTTAAACTTTGCCTAGCGTCCTAATTTTTTTCGGAGATCATATTCAAATAAAACTCCTAAAGTCCCTCTGTCAATGCAAGAGGATACTCAATTTTTGAGTGTCGTTGGCTTCGCACGAAATACGATTTTATTGTTTTTGCCTATA